CGTGGACCTTCTTGGGTCTGCATTCGGAACTTGGCGACCGGATGTGCTACGCCTCTCGCACACACAACTCCTCGTTATGTAGCCCTGGTCACCTCGAGCGTATGTTGTCTCGATGTTATCATCCCGCCAGCGTATCCCCGCACCCTACACGCGGCAGAATGCTTGCAGCCTACCATCAACCCAAGCGACGACATCTCAGAGCTGATACCATCGCTGCCCAAGGTGCAAGCGCTACAACAGACCAGCGTCATACACCAAGCACGTTATATTTAGATGGTCTTTACCAGTCGGTTTCGTTTCGAACGACCTCCCATGCTCCGGCCTGAGAATTGAAATATTCCAAGGTCTGCGTCCTTCCAGCACCAGACGTGTCGCCTTTCACACCAGCGCGGCCAATGCGACTCCCTCCCCATCTACTCTCTTTGTTCGGGGCGTGCCTCAGAGCCCCGCTGGCCGAAATCTCACGCATTCCTTCTGCCAGGGTCATGTCGGCCTGAGAATATCGTCAAGCTAAGAGAGGTTGGAATGAGGTGGGGGGGGGTCGTGCCCATACGTGGTGTTGTCTTCAGTCGTATACAATTGACAACACACCTCTGCCGAGATTATACACCTTCACGACTCCTAAGAGACCAGAAGAACAGCATCAAGATAAGGTTATTTTCCCTTCTCGTTCATACTTCGCGAAGCTGTTGCGTTATCTTCATCCCTTTGGGCCTCTTGTGACTCCTTTTTATCTATAGCACAGCACTCCACGTGCGTAAACAAATAGTCTAACTCATTTCATTCTAGTAGAGAGTGCCTGTTCCCTTCACATAGTTCACATCCCCCAACCTTGCGAGCTACGTTGGTGTGCCTTGCCACAGATAGAGGGGGTCGTCGGTATCATGCTTGATTGTACTCTGCCATGGCCTCGTACCCCTCCAAAGTCTCGACGAAGAATATCGCCGACAAGTTAGGCGTTCAGCAAGCGCGAGTCGTCAAGACTTCCTCAGCAGGGCGAAGGGTGAGTCGCTTCCTAGAAATCGCTTCCTGAGGCAGACAGTCGCGCTTTGTCGCGCTTTGTCGCGCTTTGTGCTCAAAGTCTTGTACGATGGATAGGGCCCAACTAGTTTGGTGATCGTCTCTTTCAGCGACGGTCATGAGGCTACTTTTCACGAGTACCTGACAAGACACATACTAGACGATACCCGCATCACTGAGTAGGATTCGGGTTCTCTCACTAGGCAAGGCAATATTTTGTCTACCATAGATGCATATCATGCTACTAGGCGGCGTCTGTCCCGACGGTGTGACAAGAGCCATAACCTGGTACGAGACCATGTTCTGTAAATACCATGTTCATGCTCGGGTAATTTACCTAGTCTTGCCTGCTTTGTGGGGGGGAACGCAGCAGGAGCGGAAAGCAAGTCATTTATGATCCTGTGGAACTGAACAACGAGCCGTGTTCAAAACATGTGGTTGATATATCCGGGTCGTTGGCAAACCTCTGGTCCGTCACGGCAGGGACCACAAGTTGTGCCATAAGTAAATTGCCGTAGGTGGGATAACACCCTCGAAACATAGATAGAACCAATAGACCCACACCGTTCGGGGGTTCGATTTCGTTGGCCTAGTGCACAACTCCCCCGGCATCACCTGTATCCGGACAGGGCATGCGGCTGTCTTGAGGTTCCGAAGGCCGGCATCATCGTCGCATTCGAGGAGCTCCTTCTTCCTCACCACGGCCAGAATAACGTCACTCTTTGTCCTCACGAAGCACATCTCGGGCGACCGGTCTATGGAGGGCAGGCGGAATAGCGCGGAGTATTCTCGATCCCGGGCTGCAAGCGGATTGTCCAGAAGCTGTACATGTATGTGTGCACGGAGACCGTCAAGAGTTGCTTTAGTTTTTAGCGGAGCGTGGATGGGGTGTGGTCGGTAGGAGTTTTAATAGGAAGATGCCCGACGGAAGGTTTTTCAATTGCTTCCTACGATACCTTCAGGTCATTCCTACAGTAGGTTCTCACCTGCGATATCAACGACGACGTATCTCCTGCCAGCGCATCGCAACTGGCCGAAAAGCAAGCTTCAGCGTTGCCGGACGGCTTGTTTTTCGACTCCAAGTGGAATCTTAAGATATCGGTGGCATCCTTGGATAGAATTCCGCGATAAAGCCCGGTATCTAGAGTTGAGCTGCTCCGCTGTGCCGACACGTGCTCTACGGAGATGTCATCCCTAATTGACGAGCTACAGACTGCCGAGTTGCCATTCGTTGTGACTGATGCAAGTATGCCCCCGCTGCGGTCGCCACTCCAAACGGAGGGGTCATCTTTTCCATCGACCGCCCATGCTTCTCCTGTTTTCCCTCCATCCAGGAGTTCGTCTTCGTTGCCTAGCTCGACTTCCTCCTGGCTTCTGCCAACCCTCTCGTTCCGGCAGTCCTCTATCCTAAGCTTAGGTTTTTCTGTGGGAGTTTGACCTCTTGCGTCAGGGGTATTGACGGCACCATGTTCCGACGTGTTGTTCTCGTTGTCTACGTGATGCACACGTGGTGTCGACAGCTGCGATGCGCTTTGGGTCTGCTGGTCTGCCCCCGCCGCTGCCGTCTCAGCTTCGTCATCACGGCCCAAAGTCCGCCCGTCATGTCCACAATCGCTCGCATGTGGAGCTGCAAATACATCATCACCAGGGTCTCCTCTATTCCAAGACGCTGTTTCCTGTACCTGGGCCGTCGTGCCAGGCCTAGAAGAGCGCTCGGTAAGCTTGTCACAGGGGAATGGCCACGGTTCCGGCCCCGCGGATGCTTGGTTCCTATCTGCCGTAGTGGGACGAACCCCCTTATGCCCTTCCATATCGTACATGTGGTAGATATTGTCTTCACTTGGCGGTCTTATCTTCAACCCTGGCCGTTGGTTCTGACGGTCGACGGCTCTAGGCTCCACCAGCAAACTGCTTCGTCCCAAGAGGGTGGACCCGTCGATGGTCATTCGCGAGGGAGAGATCGGAGTTGTTGGTGTTCGAGGCCTTGGGCGGTCGGGTGTAAGGGTGCATCTTCTCGGCGAATAGTGTTCCGCAGGGCCTATGGAAAAACCTGGACCAAACTGCACGAGCTCACTGCCGACGGTGTCGACTACGTCGGGGGCTCCGATAACCACCCGGGTGCTTTTCAGGATCCGTCTGCTTGAGGCCACGCCACACGGAGGAACTCCGACATGCTTTGATTCGTGCAGAAGGTCTTGACGAGGTGGTCCACTCAACCAAACCATTTTTCTTCTTGTGCTTCTGGTATCGGTTGCTGTTGTCGTTGTTGTTGCCGGTAGTGGGCGATTCTGCGGGGGCCTGCAGAAGCCCGACGGGTAGGCGTCTTTGAGGAGCGAGCTTTCTCCGCCGCGGTGCTTCCGAGGACGGAAAGCCGGAACGGTGAATGTTGGCGGAGGTGGGGACTCCTGCGCGACCTTTTGCCAAGTTGTTAGTAGAGAACATGTACCGAACGTGCACAACGCAAAACGTTTGTAAATACTTCACACAGCAGTATTGTCATACAATTGTGCGCATCCAGTGGGTGCCCGGAGACAAGAAACGTCAACTCTGGGTCGAGGCTCAATCTCATACAATTTTCTTCCTAATTTTGTCGCCACCGTCGAGCACAGGTTATGAATTACAGAGTTTACACGTTCGGTACATAGACAGGAGGGAATTCAAGGGCACACCCGGGCTTGGATGAATAGTCTAGTCTCGTAGAGTAGTCTGGCAGCTTATGCATGTATCCCGCTTGCGTCACTGGGTTTCCCACTTCTTTCGGGTGGGTCCAACGACAATGAGCAAAGTGCACAGCTCAATCACACGCACAGCCCAGCAGATACTTCGACAGCATGGGAACCTGCTCCTGTTTGGGGATACAGCTGGATGGATAGAGAGATCCGGGCAGCTTGTCTGCTATTATTGTAACAACGCACTGGACAGCAGTAGTCTAGACGACTACAGGCGTTTCTACACAGACAGATGATCGACCTCACCTGTACATCCTGATCCTTGATAGGACGAATCCTCGTTCTGAGCGGAGAAGCACCCATTGCTGGGCATGCTAGTACTGTCATGGTGCCACATGTTGTTCTACGCGGCTGCCATCCATGCGGCCGCTCGCTTTTAATTTCCGTGCTCGCTTGCCGCTCGTCAAGGTTTTATAGAGAGACGACCGGATGAAATATTTCGGTTTCATGCGAACCGGAACTCCAAAATGGTATATCTTGTACCTTTGAAATTTGAAATACGCATCCTCCCTGTGTGTGTGTGTAGTCTATACTCTATAGCAGAATATGGTGGACATGTGCTTGTGTATACGTACCCCGGAGTACGACCTACTGTACCAGCGTTTCCCTCAGTTGAACTATGGAAAGTCTTTCGAATTTTACTTTATTTAGCCTGCACCACAGAAGATGGACCCTTCGGGTCCATTTACTTTTATAAATTCGTATACCTTTCTTGGGTAGGTTAGCCCGTGACCACGGGAATCGACCCCGTCAAGTGTTAGACTAGTACAGACAGAAGAAGGTCTGGGCAGAGAGAACGGAACAGTTTTTAATGTGGAGACAACAACAACAACAACAACAGAAGAACTCTTGGTATGTCTGCATTTATTTTCTTTCTTTCGTGCATACAGAAAACGAAAATAATTGGAGCAGGCTAAAGGCTGAGAGGCGGTGTAGCTCTCGGAATCTCGCCGCCCGAGATTTCGGCACTGTCACCATCGGTAGCGTGCCATGTCGCTCCGCAACAACCTGGTTGACCGAGTTTGGGAACTCGAGGTGAAGTTTCGAGCGTCCCGGGCCATGCCGACCACAGCCAGCCTTGTTGCATGTACTAAATAAATAGTATAGTCTACTGTTGTGAAGAAATAAATGTGGTTGTGTTTTTTTTTGCTTGGGGGGACCAAGCCTGCCCGCAGGCGTAGAGCGATGTGTGGTTTGACGAGAATCAGCGCCCCCTTCTCACCGCGCATGGCCGGCAATGACGAATGTATGTGTATGATTTAATTCATCCAACGCACGCGTGCGTGTGCTTCAAAAAACGGAACGTCTACAATATACCTTTGTATTTCCGGCCAGCGTTGTGCAAGATCCCAGATCCCTCTACCTCGCCCGGCCCAGGCATAGACTACCGCTAGCTGGCGTGTGGGCCGCGAAAGAAACGTTCCAATCCAGAAGGCTTCGCAAAACCACACCACATCGTCCGGACACAACCTTCCCACACCCTCAGTTAATTAGAAAAACGGACTCGCGAAGCACCGGCACGATGAAAAATCGAAAAAAAAACCAACACTCACTTCTCTTCCCCGCCCCCTAAACTTATTTTTGACACCAGTTTACTTTGCATACTTTTCACGAGCGCAAGGAATGGCGCAATGAATTATCCGCCACAGCCACGCACCCGGCTCTACAACACATACAACAGCGCCCGCGAAAAAACACTTAAGCTCTCATGTTTCGCCGAAAATCGGGTGTATCTAACAGGCATTCACGTCACGAGCCCGCGGCAGGCACAGCGGCAACGGAAGCAGACCCAGCATTTGGCTGCGCATTGCTTTGTGACCCAGGTCCACGGGGCGTCGACCTTTTCGGGACATACAACGCCTGCGAATTGGTCTTCTTGGCCCTCTTACCCGCAGCAGCTGTCGAGGACCCGACGTTCTGTGCTGCTGTGCCACCCCCAGAGGTACCACCTCCGTTTCCTGGCCTACCCGGGCTTCCTCTTCCATGCATCGCGGTGCCAGTTGGCCTCCTCGATGAGGTGGAAGTTGGTACTGCTGTCCCTCTGACCGCGACGCTATGAACTTTGCCTGCCGCTCCCCAGCCACCCGAAGGGCTACCATGGGAAGGCCTGGGCCCAGAACCTTGTGCGCCTCTAGGAGGCCGCGGGTGGCTGCTTTGTGCAGGAACCATACCCCGCGTCCCGGCTATCAGCCACTGCTGCTGCTGCTGCTGCTGCTGCTGCTGCTGCAGTTGATAAAGCTGCGGTAGTTGGGCAGGGAGAGCGTGGGGCGTGGCACGCGGCGGGCCGCAATCGGACACTTATCATAAATAGCATGCCATGAAAAGAGAAACTGTGTGTGGCCTTCTGTCTTCCTGTGGGGTCCCGGCTGTTGCATCCAAAACGTACCGGGGTGTATGCCCAAACTAGGACGATGCCGACAAACACTGGTGCCGCCACTAGCAATGCTGTGCTCCGTACGAAACAAACATACAAGGCACAATTCGATACCTACGCGGGTCGAAAGAGCCCACCTGTGTCTGGTTGTATTGCATTCCAAACCTGAGCAATACTGGGGAAACTTCTAGGATATTGCCACGTGCAAGTGGAAAATACGAAAAACTTCGGAATCACCTCTCGACTCGAGAAAGCTGACAAGACCGTGCGACACAAGTATTCATTGCACGCTACAGGGCACATCAAGATACGTGCAGCAAGTTTCGTACCGGTTGCTGTTGTTGCGGATGCTGTTGCTGCTGAACCTGCTGCAAACCTTGCTGCGTAGCAAACCTCGCCGGGGACGGAGTCGGCCGTCCGGGCGGAACGGCTGAGGCAACAAAGTTCACACCTTGGCCCCCCATCGTCGGCGGGGTCAGCATTATTGGGTTTATCGCGTTTACCGGTGCCGCTCCTGGAGAAGCGGCACCCACACCGGTCGCCTGTTGCTGAGGTTGCGGTCCCGCCATCCCCCACATAGCCGGGCTTCCAACCCCCATAGCTCCTGCCGGGATGAAGGGTGCGGCCTCTGCGGCAAGGCCCGAGTTTCCGCCTTCTGCCATGGTTGGCGGGGGATTGCTTGCCGCCGCTGCCGCTGTGGCGACGACGCTAGTGACGACGTGCCGTGACGCTGGCTGCTGCCACCCGGCGACTTGCATGGTGGGCTGGGTAGAGGGAACCATGAGACCGGTGCTTCCTGGCGGAGCAACGCCGCCAGCGAAGGAGCCGTAGAATGGCTGCTGCTGCTGCTGCTGCTGCTGCTGCTGCTGCTGCTGCTGCTGCTGCTGCTGCTGCTGCGTGTGAGGCTGTTGTTGTTGGTGCTGCGGCTTTGGCGACGGAGTCTGCTGAACAACAGGAGGGCTGGCGCCCCCACTAACACCTGTCATTCTAGCTCCCCCCGGGCTGCCACCTCCCGCCTGAGGAAATCCCCCCGTCCACGCCGGGATGCCACCCGGAGGTATCGGCGGTTGACGCGCGCCAGGGGAATGATGTCCCAGGACGAAGCCTCCGAAGGGGCCTCCGGCCATACCACCGGCCACGGACGTTGCCAACCTCGCAGTCTGACCGGGATCGTTTGCCCTGTTATGCGGCTGTCCAGGGCTACCATCGCGGCCGCCGTTCGCGCCCCGGACCATGGCCGGCGGCCTTGGCGCTAGTCTCCCGTATCCCGTGCGAGGTATGACTTGGCTCGGGCCTGCACCCAATCCGAAGGCTTCTGGGGCTGACCTCAGCCGCCCTCCGACACTGTTCCCGCCGCCATTGGCACCTAGCATCCCAACCACACCTCCGTTTTGAAGGGGCTTCAATACAGACGCCGTGTTCCATCCGGCGGCTCCCAGCGCAGCGGGAGCGCTGTTCGGCCCGAAGTTGCCGCGTTGCGGTCCGCCGAAGCCGTAAACGGGGGGCGTGGCGCCGAGCGCAGTGGAAACGTTATTCTGCCCAAAGTTTCCTGGTCCTTGTTGCTCTCCATGACCACTCCCGCCGGCACCGAACCCGTTATACCCCCCCCTGCCTGACGCCCACTCACTGTTCTTGTTGAGGGGTTTATTGTTGTTTCCCCCCGCTGCGGCACCAACAGCTGCTACGCCGTTCCCGGTTGACAACACGGCGGAGGCCAGGCCCACTGGCAATGGCTTCCACGAGGCGTGAGTGTGAGGAGCTGGGATCGAGCCCGCTAGGCTAGGCGAGCTGAGAAGTCCCTTCGCCACCGGGGGTGGCCGCCCGTGCGAGGTCGACTGCGAGCTTGGGTTCACCGCGGGCTGCTGTACACCAGACGGAGAGGACGTAGGAGGACTAGCACTAGCACGGGTATCGTTTTCCGTTTCTTTCCCACCACCGCGATCGTCAGAGTGCGCGCTTTCGGCCTCACCCTTTCCGTTTCGTTCACCCTGCTTGTCGTTTTTTCCGCTCAAGTTGCTCGCCGGCTGTTGCTGCTTGCTAGGTGGGTTGAGACCAACCTCTCGAGTAGGCTCGACCACGCCGACTTCCGGGAGGGCACCTTCGCCCAGCGGTGGTGACTTGTCGCTTGGTCGCGGGACGTTCGGCCTCGGGGCATCGTGGCGGCTCTTCGAGGCGCTCGAGGAAGGCCCAGCTTCGCCGTTTCTCGACGGAGCGCAGACTTCCGGCGTAGTTTCTGGACCAAATGCTCGCGGCCCGGACCGCTCCCCGTCCGCCACCCTCCCCCCGCTCTCGGCGCAGGCGCCTGCAGAGTCAACGAGTGCTTTACCCTTGTTCTTCGGCGTCGCAGACCATCCCGCGTCATCGTCTGCGCCCACGCTTCCAAACTGAATCGCTGGGGACAGTGGACGCGTGGTCTTAGCCGGTGAAAGCGGGGGTAGGACGACAGCCGGTTTGCTGGATTGCGTCATCTTTGGGCTTGACGCTGGTTCGGCAGGGGACGCTCCGTCAGGCCTGGCGTTAGAGTGACCCGCACGGGAGGGTACGGAGCTGGCAGGGGCCGAAGGTTGTGCTGCTGCCGCCGCTGCTACTGCCGTCGTAACTTCTGGGGATTTACCGTTGTCTTGCTTCTTCACGGAGGCTACGGGAGCGGAGCCGGTCGTCGCTGCCTGGGCAGGTGGTCCATGAGTGCTCGCGTTGGCCTTTTCCCTCGACGACGCCTCTTGGTCAGACCGCCTAACCTGTTCGGACATACTGGCGATGGTGGCGGCCGCAGCCGCAGCTTTGGCGGCATCCTTGGCCACTTTGGCCTTCGCTTTCACCTCCGCTCGTCTCTGGAACAAGGCGGGGGGACATAAACGCGACCGCGAGGAACGGTGAGAGGCGAACAAGCTACGCACGTTTGCACGACGATTTTTCTGCACGCGCCGAAGAAACAGAGAAATGGCCGAGTCGAGAAGCCGTCTCAAGAAATCTGAGTCACAACAGATGGATACACAGGTTTCTCTACCGTAAGGCATAGGTGGAACGGAACAGCACCTGGATGCCTGCCGAAGTGTCGGACCAAACCGAATTCCCGTGCAATATAAGGCCCGCACGTCAAAATCCTAATACTACCGAGCGGTTTTCCTCCAGCTGCATCATCAGGAAGCCTCAAGGGTAACCACAGATGGGGTTGGGGTTAGGGTTAGGCAGCACAAAAAGATTACCATAGCTGCCAGCAGCTGGGTGAGTTGGAAATTCTTAGAGGGAGAGCAACCCTTCTCCGATTGACTCGGTGCAAACAAAGCAGCAGAGAACTCACCTTCCGCGTCTCAGCCTTGTTGAGTTCGAGCTGGGCCTTAATCTGGCCCCTGGCAGCCTGGTGTGCGGCCTTGCGCGCAGCGGCGGCGTCTGCCATCGCCTTTTGAGCGGCAGCCTTCTCTTCCTGTTCCCGCTGCTCCTTGCGCTCCTTCTGAACCTCACGGCGGGACTTGACGACCTCAAATTCTGCCGTGTCAAACTCGGACATGTTGACATTCATGCCCTGTATGAGAAGATAGCATGGGGGAGAACAGAACGGAGGTCAAGACACAGAACAAACCGCCAGGGTACCATCAGAAATCCGGCGGAACAGAAAGAGACGCAACAAGGGACAGAGCCGCGTATCACCCCGCCCCCGATGCTGAAGCGGTTGCCACCAATCACAACCGTTAGTTAGGTCGACCAACGACTCTGCATCCCGAGGGAAACCAGCTTGCCATTCATTCCAGATGCCAACTGGTGCGACTTTCCTACAACAGCATTCGATCGCTGCTGACGAACATCAAACGCAGAATTGCGTACACTCGAACAGTGCGATACAACTCTTGTTCGTTCTTTTTGGTTGCAAGATAGCACCGCATGTGCTATTTGCTTCAGATTTCTCAACTCTTCCATCGTGTGTCGCAGAACCAATCCGTAATTCTCACCAAATGGTCGTCCTTGTCCACCACCACTCGCCCCGGCGTCATGCCCATGCCCATGCCCATGCCCATGCCTCCACCGCCACCACTGACACCCGAACCGGTGTAACCGCTCGCACCACCAGCCAGTGCGGCGGCTGCTTCCTCTCCCCCTCCTCGCTTCATCTTCTTGCGCTCCTGCCGCGGGCGGATGGACGCACACAAGAAACAAAAAAAAGGGAAGGGAACGGCTTGCAAGTAGAGCCAAGAGTAAAAGGGGTTCAAACATATCCAGGGGTTCTCGTCAGCAGCAGTACAACGGCAACAACCACGACAACAACGCGATGGCGACAGGACCGCAAGTTCATGACGAGTTGACTTGTACCACACCCCGCGAACCGCCCCAAAGGCCCCTCGCAAGCTCGTTGCAGCCCCCATCCCCCCCACCACGAAACCTCATTACAACTAAGAGTAACGCCGTTTGCGATAGACACGCGCCATACATGCAACACCGTGTACGGCGAGAGCGGACCACCCTCAGATACCATGGGACGAGAGAGTCGCCCACACACTGACCGCAACGCGAGAGGCAGTACCTACCTTGTCAGCGCTAGTCTAGAGATGTTGGCAAGGAAAACAATAAACATTGAATGATGGGACTATCGTTTGCATTTTGTCTCCCTCCGTTCTTCCGGCGATGGATAAGCCGTCCTACGTAGGCCAAGTCTTGTAAGGATGGGTGGCGAGAAGGACGGTTTCTGCACATCTAACCCTAGCTACAACGCGGACCTTTCTAGTCTCCTTGAGCTTCTCCCTCTCCTCCTTTGCCTTCTCCTCTTGCTCTTTCGCTAGCTCTTGTTCTCTAAGGAGCGCGGCGGCGGCGGCGGCGGCGGCGGCAGCGGCACCCTCTTTGCCACCGGTGGCCTTCCTGCCTCGACCTTTCTCCCGATCGCCGTGTTCACCGCCGCCGCGATCCGGAAAATCCCGTGCTCTCGCGTTCCGTCCAGCCCCATCCGCTCTCGCGCTTGAGACAAGGCCTTCCTTACCCTTGACTCCTTCTCCTCCTCCTGATGAGGTGAGTGCCGCTTGTTGCTGGCTCTGGCTGCGTCGTATCTCATTTCTCGCCTGATCCCTCCTCTCCTTTGCGGCAGTTCTCCCTCCTCCCGCAGCGCCGTTGCTGTGTCTGTCCTTGCCCCCCGAGGCGCCGGGGTTGGTCGGAAACGAGGCTATTACGTCTCTGTCTCTAGTGTTGCGGGGGGCGGACTCGTGTGTGTGGTGCTTCTCTCTTGGGTCTTTCTTGCTGTAGGACGAGGAGGAGGAGGTGGCCGTGGAGGAGGCGGCGGAGGAGCGCGTAGGTCTTGACCGATCGCGGTCGTGGTCTCGATCTGATTCCTCAGCCATCGCGTTCCACCGCGCCTGCAGAGTTGAACAAACCATTGCCAAAAACAAAACAGCATGAGTCCTCAGTATAAAGCCAGCACTGGAAACGAGGCAAGGGCGGCGGCGGCGGTGTAGTTGGCTTTGCCCACAGAAAGCGTTGCCTTCTCTCTGACACGAGCTTCGAGCTTGGGAACCCACTTTATTCGAAAATCGAGCGCCAAGTTCTGAAGGTGTTGAATAACCTGCATCCTGGTGTAGGTGTCTGAGGCACCTTGTTACGCGCCCAACCAAAATCTCTTTCAAGGTGCCTGCCGAAAATAAATCTCGGCCCGACGATGGCAAAGGTCGCTCAAATATCAGACACATACCGCGCACCCCGGCTGTTTCTCTCACAACGCACCCAACCTTTCCATGGCAAATGTAAAACCGAAGGCCAATTTTACAATTTTACCGTCCTGATAAAGAGAGTTTCAATCAAAAACTTGTGTATTCGTCGATGTCTTGGCACGGCCCGCTTACGTACGGGAATTCTTCGAGGCCTTTCCCTTTCGACGTCTTGCTTCCAGCCTCACAACAAGAAAGTTGTCGTGTCGACAACAGCGGAGCGAACTCTCAAACGCCATCCCCGACAGGTCTCATTCCTACAATTTCTATTCGCCAGACCATGCACGAAACAAGGACCAACACCTCCTCCTTTCGCCCTCTGTCCTCATGTGCACCTGCAAAGGGTCCGGCGCTCCCTCCGGAATATCGGCGTTGACGTACACGACATGCTCCGACACGCCTGAGCCTCCACCAGGCGCAACATCCGGAGAACCATAGCGGTAGAGGGCTCCGCTGGTGCGCGGGGGGCGTTCGCTGCTCTCCTTGCGCCTCGCCTCCCTGCGGTAGGTAACGTCAGCAGTGTTAGCTGAACGACGGTCCGGTGTGCAACAGCCACGAACAAGGTCTGGGACGCATGTCATCCGTTCGCTTTCGTGCTCATTTTTAGTCTACAGCAGCATCGGAGACAATACTTTTCCTCCTCATACGCAAGGATGATAGTGCTAGCGGCGTGCCTGGCCAAAGCTTCTAGATTGGAATGCTGCGACCGGACTGCATTGCATTGCATGCACTCTACCGCCTTCCCCGTCGTGGCCCTAATCTAGATACAGGCAACGCTTCCACCCGAGGAGGAGGAACCACGTCAGTGAGACAACGACGCCGGCACCCTTGTTTCCCTTTCACTTCTACTGCTGGTAGCGTTATACAACTGGAGGTGGGAAGGTTGTGGTAGCGAGCGCCGAAATCAAGAAAGGGCAAGTGAATAGAAGTACATCGAGCAGGTGGCGAAGGCAGAGGGAGAGATAAGTCTCGACAATAATAAACCTCCGCAGGACTGGAAAACTATACACATTGAACACTCGTGGACAAGCTAGTGTTTCGGCCGAGAACAAGAGATTGAGCGCCTGTGAGCGCCATCTGCATCCATGAATAACAAGAACATACTAGGCAACGCAAAAAGTGACCAAAAGAAAAAACTGACCTCCTAGCTCTAACCCCTGCTTCGGAGCGATTGCGTTGGCGTTCCGTATCATCATGACGCTTTTCTCTCCGTACCCTGTCACGCTCCGCGCGTCGCGCCTACAGTATCAATAATCGAGAGGTGGGAACGAGTGAGGTGGGGTAATTCGGTGTCAGTAGGAGTCACAATTGTCATTCACCATTCGTAATGGTAAAAAAGTATTGGGGGTATACAAACATGCCAAAACGTTGGATAGAGTTTTACGTCTCGGCCTTCTGCAGCAGGACAGGGGAATGTGAAAGGGTCGACAGCCGATCGCAGGCAACTGTTCCAAGCAAAATAAGTTTGCAGCCTTTGAACCATCGGATCGGCTCACAGTTAAGTCGCTGCACAAGAACACCATGCCCTTAAATTCAAGAAAATATACCAAACGACCGCGGCTGTTGCTACTTGTATTCCAAATCGCTCACACAAGTCCACCACCAGGACGACACAGCATATTGCCGTCCAAAGCTCCACCGGGTGACCAAAACGAAGAAAAGAAAAAATAAACAAAAGCCTGAGCGGCTCTCCAGCTGCAAGGCACTACAGTCGACAAGGACAAGAGCAGCACATACAACCCCGTTCCCACGCTGTACCTTCTCGGCGTCTTTCTTGTCGTGGTCATCCCGTTTGGGACGCTGCTGGTGTTGTTTGACACCAGCAGCATCCCGTGGAGCACTGGCGGCGTTCAAGTCTATCTTCATGCTCTTCCGCTGCCGCACGGCCAGGTCTCTCTCCCGCTCGTCTCTCGCCCGGATCGCCTCCCGGCTCTCAAGAGCAGCGGCAGCAGCGGCATCGTTGCCGCTAGTGGTGCCGGCGCTTCCCCCAGACACCGATGCGCCTTTCGCCAGAGAGGTGCCCGCCGAAGCAACCAAAGAACTTTCGTGGCTAGACGACGGCTGTTGCCGGTGCTGCTGCTGCTGCGGCGGCGGCGGCGGCAAGGGGGCGTTTGTGGTGGTCCCTTTGCCTCCCCCCCAAGCAGAGTCGCCTTTCAGCGATGCCGACACGGCAGTTGCAGCCAAAGCCGGGGACGGAGGTGACGCCTCAGCCTGAGGAGGACGGTGAGCTATGCGAACACCACCGCCGCCGCCGCCGCCGCCGCCTCGTGATGCCGCGCTCGTGGCAGGGCTTGGGGAGGCAGGCGTCGAAGGGGACGAGTCAGGGGTGGGAGGGTTGTCGAGCGGCGAAGCTCTCCGACGGCTGGAAGGCGCGTGCTTCGGCTGCCGGTCCCACGCCTCTTCCCGGTTAACCCCCCCACGGCCACCGCTAGCGGCGACAGGCTGTTGCACCCCCCGCTCCCACACCTTCGAAACCGGGGCACCGCATTGTTGCTTCATTAAACAGTAGGTACGTCGAGAGATCGGAACGGTCACTATTGTGACGACAACAACAACAACATTTGCTAGAAGATAGGGGTAGTTGTACTGGGGTCGCCTCACCATGGGATAGTGGAACAACCGACAACCAACCCAATAGTCTAGCGGGAATAATGAAGATGAAACACCAAGACAACAGAAATTTCGTATACAAACGTAAGTTCAGACCGGGATAGTCTACACATTCGGCATGCAGATGCATGACACGTTGCAGGGGGAAAGGGAGGAGCGTGTTAAAAACCTGAAACTGGTCTCCAACAGGTACAAATCATTTGCAAGGTCCGAAGTGGTGGTGGTGATGCTGCTGCTGGGAGAGAGAGGCTAAAGCCACGAAGAGCAATTCAAGAGCGCTTCAGATACAACATCACCCAAGACTAACTCTTACAACTTCGCGTCAAGACATCACATACGCATCACGTACAGAGAGAAAGAGCACGCAAAGTTTCGTCGCAAGTAAGTCAAGCAATGATGCTGCTGACAACACCGACTCGGCGACGATGTGAGTCTCAACAAAAGACGAAAGAACACGTTTCCCCTCTCCTCTCTCCTCTCCTCCCACTCACCTTCTTATCTCCGGGGTTTCCGTCTCGCACGAAGACACCCTCCCCACCCCTCCCACCCCTGCCCCAACCTCCGCGCCCCCTCCCCTGCCCACCACCCTCCCGTTCATCCCAGCCTCCCCTGCCCCCCCGACCAACACCCCTGCCCCGCCCTCCGGAGAACTCGCGCCTCTGGTCCCAGCCTCTCCCTCCCTCGTGCTCGCGCGGAGCGGCGGCGGCGCAGGAGGAGCGGTGGCCGCCGAACCGCGAGTCTTGCTGCTGGAGCGACTGCGCCTGCCCCGCCACCTCCCGCGTTTCGGGCGACTCTGCCGCGACGGCTACATCGTTGGCACCCCGTCCCCCCGTTCGGGGAGAGTCCGAAGGTGGCCCGCTTGGCCCTCCTCGCGAGCTCACCTGTTGGCGTGGGCTCTGGTGGTGCTGGCCACTCTTAGCGTTGCCGTTGCCGGAGGATTGCAAAAGTCGGGGTTGTTGTTGCTGTTGCTGTTGCGTCGGGGTGCGGCCGTCTAGGCGAGCGTCTTGCGGGCCCCGAGGGCGGTCGCTGGGAGCGCGAAGCTTGTCGCTGTCCTGAAGGTTTTTGCGCAACGCGCGTGCGGAAAGCGGGTAAGCGGGGTTGTGGTTTTGAGGCAAAAAGGCGAGAGAAAGTGTGTGTGTGTGTGTGTGTGTGTGTTTGGATTCATTCGTAAGCATCCGCGCTCTCTGGCTGGCCAGATGAAAACACGTCTTGGAAGTGTGAGTGTGTTGCACGGCGTTCCTGGAGGAATGCTCTCAACGGCGCACTAATACCAGTCGCATTCGGGGTGGTCAGTTCTTCATAGATCGCATGAAAATTCGATATCGCGCCAACTACCTGTCCATGGTGACATATTTCACAGAAGCGTGCTGACACAGCAAAACAGCTCTATGAGCAACTAAGCGCCTCTATAGCTCTAACCGCAGAATCAGCAAAGAAAACAGCGAACGATTGTGGCCATCACATGGCTCTCATCTCTCCTCCCGCTCCAACGACCTTCTCTCCCTCCGTCTGCCTCTCCCGCCTCCCACTCACTGACCTCAACGTCCCGCATCTTCCCCGTCTTGTGGTCGAAAATCTGCTTGTGTTCTCGTGAGGGGGGCGGCGGCGGACCTCGCCCCGCCTCCGGCCAATCCCGATCATGATCATGATCATGATCATGATCACCCTCCCCTCCCCACATCTGCCCTTCGACACCCGCATCCCCAGGCCGCTGCGCCCCCGCGTGCTGGTGCTTCTGCTTCTGCTGCTGCCCGGCACCAGCGAAAAGACTCGAAAAGCTCCGCGCGCCCTGCGCGGAAGCCGGACAAGGAGGAGTACGAGGCGGCGGCGGCGCAGACGGATCGCCGCCTTTGTGCTCCGCCTGCCCCCCGCGCTGGGAGCGGAGGTGCGCCTCGCCGGCCTCGCCTTCGCGCCGTGGAGTGAGCCACTGCAACGACACAGAGGACCCGGAATCCCCCCCGGAGGAGGGGGCTTTGCCCCTGCCGCCGGCCGCGGCCGCGGCGTGGAGGTTGGCACCCCCTTTTCCGGAGAGCAGGAGCTTGGAAGGCTCCGCGGTGCGGCTCTTGGTGTGAGGCGCGGGCTTCACGGCCGGGGACTCCGACGCCACCTTTTCGGCCGCTGCCGGTGCTGCTGCTGCCGCCACCACCTTCACCACCGCCGCGGGGGGCACCTGTCGCTTCTGGATGACGCGAGCTCCGGTCCCAGCCTCGACGGCCTCTTCCTCCCCACGCCCGAGCACCGCTTTCACGGCCTTAGGTCTTGCCTTTGGCGGCGGCGGCGGCGGTGCCGCCCCCCCCCCTAAGGCCCACGCGGAGGCAGACCGATCGGCCGACGACATGGGTCCCAAAGCGGGGCTCAGCGCGGCCGCCGCCGCTTGCTGAGCGGCCCTCTCTCTCTCGACGTCCTCCTGCCTGCGGTAAGGGTCGTCCCTCCCGTACTCGTCGGGCTCGTAGCCTCTCCCCTCCTCTGTGTCGTCCGCACCCCCCTGCTGCTGAGACCCGGCCTCTTGGCCGTCTGTTCTTGAACGCGCGTTGTTCTGGTCCTTGTCCTTATCCTTCTCCTTCTCGGCGCGGAGGCGCTCGAGTTCCATCCTTGCTCGCAGCGCAACGCTCTTTTCGACCTGGTTCGAAAGAGAGCGTCGTATAGGGTAGGAATGCATCGGTACGGAAATGACGTTGGCAATGCCTATACAAGAGGGGGGGGGGGGGCAGAGGTTGATGTGGCTGTAAGGGAAATGGCAACGCAGTAACGCCGACGGAAGGTGGTTGAAACCTATCCTCGGCGCTACGATTACGTCGGGAGCTCACATTTCTGCACGCGTACAGACTCCCTTACGCTCACCAATCGCAGTACCTTTGTCTTCCTACAGCAGGCATGCCTCTCTAACTGAAGAACAAATTGTATGTGCATGCACAACTACCGCATCATGTCGCAGATACAGGTACCAAAAGGACGAATACATTACAGCAGTACGATACCTCGTCGCTCTTCTCCGCCAGACGACGCTCACGCTCAGCGAACGCCTTTGCCTCTTCCGCGACGGCTTCGGCGTGGTTCTTCCTCTCCTCCTCACTCATTGGTCGCTTCGTTTCAGGTACCACTGCCGCCGCTGTCGGAGGTTGCGCCGCACCCGGGGAAGTACTCGCCGCACCCGCCGCCGGGGCAGGGGAGGGTGCGGCAGCCGGAGATGACGGCGGGGGTCTCGCAACCCCGTTGGGCTGGCCCCCTTCAAGCGGGCGCCGAGACATCCTCCCCAACGAGGAGTAAGGGTCAGGAGAAGCCATCCCGGTCATGGACGGGCTGTTGAACGACCCCCGCCCCGCCCCCCGATTATCGCGCTCGCCCCACTCCCGGCTGCTCCGGCCGCCGCCGCCCCCTCTGTCTGGCCCGCGATCCCACTCAGGACCTCTATCTCTGTCCCACTTCCGGCGGTGCTCCCAGTCTAACTCGCGTTCTCGCGGGTGCGGGGGTGGTTGCCCTCGCCCGCGGTCCCACTCCCGCCCCCTGCCTCCGTCCCAACCCCCGGACCAACCACGGCCACCCCCTCCTCCCCCGCTTCGGAAATCTCCGTTGTGATGATTGTGCCCGTAGCCGCCCCCGCCGCGGGTGTAGTCCCCCCTAGCCGATTCATTCGCCGTGCCGCCATACCCGGCGAGGCGAGAGCCGAAGGACGACCCACCTCTCCCGGACAACCGGGACGGAACAGACGGCGGGCCGTGGTGGCCGTAGTGATCACCGCCGTCGCCGTACCTCCCCCCACCTAAGGGGCTAGGCATGCCGTCGTGATCTCGCGGGCCGGAGGAGGGTGCCATGGCAAAGGAAGAGGGCGAGGGCGAGTTATTGCCACTCCCGCCTGCCCGTCCACCTGCTGCTGCTGCTGTTGCTGCTGCTCGAGTTTGTTGTCCCTCCCGCGACCCGCCTGAAGGGGAAGTGGACGGGGGGGGGTCTCCTTTGCCTTGGCTAGTGTCAGGCCCCGTACCGCCTGATGAGAGAACAGACGATTCGGCGATCGTTCGAACAAGTTAACGAATCAGTTTTGAGTAAAACAGCAGACAGAGCGAGAGAGAGAGAGAGAGAGAGAGAGAGAGAGAGAGGAACCGCAAACGCGAACAGGCCGGCCTTACATCAGTCATGCCATGGTGAAAAGGTGGGGAGGTGGCATCTATTCCAAAAACAATTACTGCAGCCTCCTGCAATGTAACTTTATCTTCTTCCGCACGAGGAGACCACGTCCAAGTTTATGCCGCAAACACAGCCGAACAGGATCAAACACACGCCTCGCAAACACTTCGGGACAGAAGTAGAGGAGAGGGGCAAGTCGCCGATACTTGTTCTCATCGACCTGAACCGTGTAGACTGCCCACCGGCATCCCTAACTACTGTACGACAACACAGCCAGTCACAAGGTGAGTTACAAAGCCTTTCAAAAGGTTCCAAAATGGGCTCATAGCCAACTGCTGTTTGGCACAGGTACAGCAGGAGCAACCCCGCACACTCCCACATTTTTCTAACTTGGGGCTGTCGCATTGTATTCTAAAAATGGCATTGTGTTGACTAGAAACAGAGGGCGCTTTTGCAAGAATCTGGTCAAGCACGGCGACCCCTTCCTTGCCAGGTGTGAGCCCAACCATGGTGTGAAATGTGGAACCGCACGTTCTTGTGTACACGAAGTCCCTGTAAGCGACACCACCACCCCTACGAAACATGATTACATGGGTTCAGTTTGATCAACCCACACGGCGACCTCCCTACCCCCCCCCTCTCAGAGACAGATTACCACAGTTTGGGACATGTGCCCCGCCTGTGTGCTCTACTACTGTATGGGCCCTACAAGGTACCTCCGAGACCTCATACAAAATAACACCTGTTGGAAACGTATACCTACAATACCTCCGTACTCGTTTCATCCAACACAGTTACGGCTGGGAGTTTCAATTGAATCCTCCAACCACGACGGTCACTCACCTCTCGGCCTCAGCTGCGGCGATTTCTCCGCCCTCGAAGCGCCGCCGCCCATCTCCAGGGGGAAGTCGCTCTCCCTCAGGTAGTGGCCCTGCATCCCGCCCCCCCCAGGGGGCCCGCCGCCAGACCTACCTTGACCCACGTACCCCCCCGCCCCCATCCCGTTCTCTCTGCCCGCGGGAGAACCATCACGGCCCCCACCCCCCGGCCCATCGCCCCGCTGGCCGAAGTGAGGCCGTCCCGATGGTGCACGAGGAGGCGGGTAGCTTCTCGGATCTGATCGGCCACCGCCGCCACCGCCGCCACCGCCGCCACCGTCGTTGTTTGGCCAGCGGGACGACCCCGGAGGGCCCGCAGAGCGGTTTTCGTGACCGTAGCTCCCTCCCCCCCCTCTGTTGCCCCCTCCTCTTCCTCCTCCAGCCATCGGAGGAGCGGAGCTGTCATCGCGCGCGGGGCCTGCTGGCGCTAGCTCTGCCACGGCGGGCTGAAAGGCATGGATTGATGGTTCGGTTGGCTACGTTAGCAAGGCGTGATTCATGATCTGCATTCGACCGTTTACACGCAGAACGAGGGAGGCGGGTTGTAGGGTTGCGCTGGCAACTCATGAGACGCGTCGCCAACCATTGCAGGAAACGTATTCGCACTACCGCATGCCAAACGGACACCGACCCGGAGCTGCGCCTCGCGACACCCTACCGGCACAGGAATCCGGCCTACCCCAATCTTCTGCCTGGTGAGCCAAATACGCGCAGTCTAGATACAGGGAAGCACGCACACACACGGCAACAAACTCACAGCAGGCGCAGTAACCTTGCCGGCGCCCCAGCCCACCCCCCCCGAAGGGACCAGCGGCACGCTGATGTCCTGACCCTTGTTCTCTCTGCGGAGGCTAGGCGTGTTGACGGGCACCGGGGTGGACAGGCCGCCCGCCCCGCCGGCGTCCCTGTTCTTGCTGCCGAGGACTAAGAGTCGGCCCCCGGCGCCGTACGCGGGACGCACCACTTCTCCGGCTCTGTCGGACCCCCTGCTGGCATACGTAGCGAACGGTGCATGGGGCATACCATGGGTATGTAGCAAACAGTGTGCGGGACAGGTTCGTGAGAAACAAAACACATTCACCGTCACAAAAGGCGGTTGTGGTTGGTGGCGATCGATGAAGGCACACAAACAGCGGCGTAACAAGAAAATCTTCTGCCGTGTTGGGAGTGTTGCTGCTGCCGGGGAGCTACAAACAACACCCAAGACAGGGCCAGCCTTACACCCGATAGATTAGGGAGTCTCTGTTGCTTTGTGGCGTGCTTTGTGGCGTGGGATCGAAAACGCAACGAAGAGGTCTAGGCACATATGATACGGTACATGTGCGGATGAATACCCAAGGCGTCCGAACCTGACTTCAAGCCGGTGTTCTCGAGGAGGTCGCAATTGTGAGCTACACATCCCCGCAAAAACTTGATCAGGTAATTCTCAGCACGTCGGACCAACTCGGGGGCCACACAACCAAGAATACGGCACCATGAACATTGAACACCCGTGGGGTATGTTGATGAGGATTCTGCGATTCCTGTGATGCTTGACTCGTGGACATCGGAGCAGCGCCGTAGCCGACAGCACGGCAAATCTAAATGACAATGCCTAGATTACCGTGGGCTGCTGGAAACCAAGAAATATCCAATCTCACAACTATCTAGGCGTACCACAGTGAAGTTGTGGAATGGCAAGGTTCGAGACACCCATGTTGTGAACGGCATGTAGGCGATGACAGCGTAGCATGCCCGTCAACTTCCGTCTGACTTGACCCGTATGCATGACACACACAGAGAGAGAGGAACGCCCGTTTTCGTCCACAGCAGCCCATCGCAGTCGGGAGCAGGCGGCGGCAGTAGCAGTGGTGTCTACCCTAAAACGCCACAGGTCCCTTCCTCTGTGTTGTCTGCACCAGGATCCGACCACGATCAATACGCACACCAGCAACCGTTGCGCACCACACGGCACCCCGCCCGCTATCCCACAAGTCCTCCCTCAACCTCTGCCGTCTCTTGAGAAACAACACGGCGGTATGGCGGCATTCTACCCACCTTTGGACAGCGGGGGCCTTGGTGAGGGCGTTCAGGTTCTTGCTGGCGAAGCTCTTCTTGGTCGTGGTCCCGGTTCCGCTGCTCCCGCTTGCCGCAGGCGAGCTGCTGGTGTCCGAGGGAGAAGGACCAGGGGCCCTGCGTCAAGCGGTGGTGTTCGGAATGCAGCAATCGAACACAGGCAACAGGTCAAGCAGCGGTTACAAATGTGTTCGATGCAGTCACCCAAGCACGAGTGTTGGGCGATGCTCCATGAGAGCCGGTATCGCTATTAAGCAGCTGTTATTTTCGCCAATGGGGAGCGAAGCGACGCTCATGTCATCATCCATTGTGCCCTACCATAAACTGGCATCTCCGAAATATACCGAAAAAACGATGAACGGCCTACAGCAGTAGTGGGGCAAAGACGACCACCGGCAAACAGCGGCAGCAGCAGTGCAGCTGAGAGGCGAACAGAGATGACTCCCCCCTGTTGCCGTGTATTTGCCATGCGCTAGCAACATGTGTGTGTGGGTGCAAAGGGACGGCGTACCAACGCTTTCATCCCGAAAAAGCACCATGGTGCGTGGCTAGACTCCACAAGACAACCTCGGCGATGGCCCACTGTGCTGCCCAAACATAGCGTCAGCCCCGAACATTCCCCTGACTGCCAGCTGAACGCGACCGCTCTCGCTGCTCTGCAGCACGCTTGTCGCGCGAAGCTGCCACTTTCTATGTAGAATTTTGCATCGCAACATGTGAACAAAAAGCAAACAGCCCGCGTCGGTCGCTACCAATGTTGGCTACCGCGCCGTTGACAAAATCCTCAGTCCCCACGCCCAGCGTTGTAAGGCCTGTCCCATTCCTAACCTAGTAACGCCGTTGCAACTGAGGTGCCTACCTACACTAACTTTGATGCGACACGTGATGGCAGGTGTCGATTCCTTACAGCACCGCTCAAAATGCGCCACGACGAGGCTAACGCGAGGTGCCGCGCTCCTACAGCATACAATAATACAACCTACCGTGGGCTTTCCAGCGCGGAAAGATCATCACCGGGTTATGCAAACGTTGTCTAAATCTCACCAACGGCAATCGAAACTTCAGTCGGTGCAGCCACAACATGATTGTTACTCTGGGCGAAGGGGGACCAAACCTACACTCCTCTCTGCCATAACTTCACGGGAATGGTACTCTCGCAAAGGCCGGCTAGATTGCTGAAGCTGCTGCTGCTGCTGCTGCCAAGTGTGCCCGCCGCATCTCAACGTCGCCGAAAGGCGCACTCGCCTCCGACGCGTAAATTGTACTTGTAGCATCAACTTCACAGCAGTAAAACGGAAAGCAAATTCGTCGGCGTGGGCGGATGATTCACACATTGCCAGCGGACTCATCATACGGTACAGCAGAAGTCCAGCGGGGCTTGGCATGCATTCGGAGCAGCAAAGCTCCCATCCACAACCATGAGGACAAGTCGAAGCCACCGCAGACATGCAACCCCACGCCGGAGAGCGGCGGCCCGCTACTTAGTTGCGTGGGATTGTTGATGCCCTAAAGAGACGGTGAAGTCGAAGTTTCCCGGCCGAAGAAGGCACATCTCTCGAGTTTAGATTTTATGGAGTGGTTCACGATATATATATAGAAGTAGCGGTTTCCTGCTCACACAAGCATCATAATTGCGCCTGGTATGAAGCCAACCTGATGCTGTATCGCTCAACACCCACACGCACACACGTGCTGTGCAGACTGGATTTGTGCACCAGTAGTATGATTTACGGAATCGACGGCAAAAGCATCCCCCTACGGGCAGCAGTAATCGCAATCGCCGGGAGATCCAAAACGTCAGAAGTAAAGATTCGACGCAGACAGCGTTCGATAAAGAGGGGAAACCCAGGGGAAAGAGGGACAGAGGGACAGACAGAGGCGGGGGGAACGTCACAACTACACACAGCTGGTTTTGGCGAAGGCGGCATGATAACGCACCAAACCCTTCACCCGCTACTAAACAACGAGACCACACACACACCCGCTCTCGATACCGGTCAAAACCTCAACTCAAGTTTTCTTTGGCACACACACGAACGCAAAACTCACCCCGTGGTCGTGCTAACAACACCATCGCCGGGAGACGTTGGCATAATCCTCTTGCGTTCGTCCCCTCCCAACGAACTGCGGTCAGCGCTTTGCTCTCACGCAAGGGCGTCTGAAAGAGCGTCGAAAAGCAGTGTTGCAAGTTTAGGGGGCTCCGTGAATCGAAACATTGTGTGTGTTCACTGTTAACTCCGCCCGCGCTCCGTCTTTCCCCCGCCCTGCTGCCCTCCGCAACATGTCCACACATCATCGTCGCTCAAGAAGTTTCTCTGACACCCAACGCCCTTGCCACTGTAGAATGAAGAGCTCCTATCTGGCGTTACACGAGGAGGACTCCTCAGGTGGCCTTTCCCCCATTTGATGTTGCATTGCATTGGCGCTATACGCATATATATACGGGTACATGCGGAGACGGGTTGTTGTTGTTGTCTTCACAGACAGGTGGACATCGCATGCAATGATGCGATTATCGGCTGAAATTACATACCATACGTAAATCCTGAGAAGTGCTGTTACTCTTCCAAAACATACCACACCAAACGCACACGATATCCTCCATACACGTCGTCGCTGTATACACTGTTGCTGCACGCTGCACACGCTATCACTGAGAATCTGGGAGTGAACAACATTTCAGGCACATCCAAGACATGTTGAAGAACGAACCGTAAGAACAGAGGTGCTCACTGCACACTTGTACATTAATTCCTTCATTCTACGAACGTCAATGTCGGGTCCAGAAATTCTTACTGAAGTCCTGCCTGAACGTGTGAGCTGTTGTAAGTATGTCGTTTCCCACCGTCGAGCACAGCAGGCTACATGTCAGAGAGATTCGAGTAGGACCCACGCTGAAACCGCCTTTTTTTCGCGAAAAATGAGTTGTTGCCACGTACCCTGATAGACTGCCCCACCACCCATAAGATATGCATGTTGAGAGTAGGAAAAGAGGGTCGGGTTTTATCTTCTGCTGTGCGTTTACGTCCTATGTTGATTTCGGTGATGTCGTCTGCTCGAATTTGCTCTTTGCTGCTAACCGAGACCATTGAGATTGGTGGGCGCTGTGGCTACTCTTGGGAATGAGCATTCAGAGGGTGATTGATGCCTGTTGATTCGATCAAGCTTCGACCGAGGCGTGTGGCGTAGCTGCAAGGAGCACCCGATGAGCTTGAAAACGACGAAATGCCGGCACTAAATACACACCCGGTGGATTCAGGAGGGACGACATTAACACGACAAAGAAGGGGAGGTTTTTGCCTCATCAAGCAAAACTAACAATGCACCATCGGCCACACGACCCGGGGACAAGTCAGCGTCAGTGAGTCTCTACGTTGCATGCTTGCATGCTTACATGTCGCAAATAGAGCCCATAACGGCCAAACCATCCCCGTATCGGCAATCGTTTTTTGAATGGACACTCTGGTTGACGGATTTTGATATCAATCTACAGTATCACTGACTGAGCAAACTATTGTTCCCGACAGGTTCCCGAAGTCGAAAAACACGTCCAAACACCGGGTGGACGCAGACGACTTCGATTGCCCGCTCTGTGCAACCCGACCAACATATCACAAAAGGGCTGCCTTCATTTTCAACACCGGACAATGACTGCACCACAGTACTCCTTCAACAGGGCATCCAAGGGTCAGACGCTACTTGCCTGTTTCCATACGATCACCCCCCTGTAACCACTTCATTGTTTCCTCATCCTTCCAGAGACGCGACTTGCGCTAGCAACAGGCCCGGACACAAACGAAAGGAAGCCAGAGCGCTGCAAGTTATGGCACAAAGACCGCAGCAGCATAAAACCATCACAGCAGCAACGCATCCTCCAAAATAACTATGTAAACCATCGGTGCCCGCGTTGGTCTAGAGATTGGAAATACAGCCAGCACCAGCGGGTGGAGAGTTGAAAAGCTCACGACATCACAATCACGACAAGTCCTGGAACAACCAGTCTAGCTTCGCGTCTTGGCGCTCCTCTGCCGATGCCTCCTGCTGCGCCTCGATTATCTCGTCCGCGGAGACCCTTCTCAGCCTGGGAGTTTCCTCCCGGGTCTCGTCGAGTTCCCCCATCAACACCAGAGCATCCCCTCGGACAAGGTAAAGCCCCAGCGATATATCCCCGAAAATATCTGCGGCACCAACCGGGTGGTGGACACGAGGGGGGAGCGTTGGCGCATACAGCTGTACGAGGAGACGGCAAAACCAACGCTGTAACTAAAGTGCATCGCGCCTACCCGTTTGGATACGTGCTGCAATACCGATGAATGTTCCCCGGTGAAAAACTTCGGCTCGAAAAAAAAAAACTCTGACCGGAACTCCTGGTCCGGATTGCTATGACGGTGTCTCAAAACGGGATGACTGCTGTTGAAATTGACTGAGCAACATATGTTGGAGAATGCCCGAAGCGATCCAAAGAACATCTCTTACAATCAACTATTCTTCTGCGCACAGCTTCTCAAGATACGTATAATACCATGGTATGTGATTTCCGACCGGTCAAAATCATGAATTAATTACGGGGTCCGCCTGGGTCACTCGTGAAAACAGCGGAATAGTTTTGGCTGATGACAACGCAGCACGAGCTTTCGAGTACAACGCCAACAAGCAAGAAGGACGTGTCACGCAATACACATTGGTGGGGGAGGACAACGTCGAGCGGATGAACATTTCCGACCAGACACATGGCTTTGTATCAGAGTTTGCTGAATCTCACCTCTCACAAAGTGTCGTTCGTGCGTGTCTTCCAGCACGATGTTGGAAAACTGGTCGTAGCTTCTCATAACTCCCACCAGGTGCCTACCGTCGCGTAGAACGACCTGTTGAAGTTGGTAACCGGGTTGGTTGTTGTTGTGATTATTGTTGGGTTTAACTATCTACAAGCCGCCATCCATCACTTTCATACTCATCAACGCTGTATCCTTAAAACGAACAAAAACGTCCAACGCATGAACAAAGAATGCCCCCCCCTGAGGTACACACAAACAGCATCGCGTCGCCAATGCAACTCCGTTCGGGAGGGAGTTCTTGAACATCCTCGTCTGCAACGGTTGCAAGCATGTTCTAGACTTTTGCGGCATTGTTGCGGCTGGGTAAAATAGCAGCACCACTTCGCCTACTGCTATACCGTAGGCTCGTAGACAACAAAGGGAACACACCCTCCTGTACAGTAGTGCAGTGGGAGGTGCGTGGACCATGAAACAATCGAGGCTCACAATCATGACTGAGAAGGCCTGACTGCAGTTGACACGACCTTATCGCCCTACAACAGGCGAGGAAACTTACACATGCAGCCTACCCCTGTCTCCCCGTATCAAGTACCCACCATGACCCGCTTGTCGAGCTGCTCGAACAGACTCGCTGACCCAGGAAAAAACGCCGGGGGTGGTGGCGGGGGCGGTACGGGGTGCTGAAAGCCCATCCCAGGGAGCCCCATCCGTTGCGGGTGCTGCGGATGCTGCGGATGTTGTGGGTGTTGTTGTAGATGGTGCTGGGGGTGTTGGGGGTACACCATTACCTGCTGCTGCTGCCCGGGAGGGGGAGGATTAGGTGGATGTGTTCTGGGAGGGGGGGCTTGCATCCCTGCCCCTCCGACTACCGCGGCCCTCGCCCCTCTCGGTGCGCCGGCCGCTCCCCCTTGTGGTGCTTGTGGGCGCTGCTGCTGCTGCTGCTGCTGCTGCTGCTGCTGCTGCTGCTGCTGTGGCTTTCGAACCCTGCCGGAGCCTTTCCTAGGAGCATCCGCCATGGCTAAGAAGTTGTGCCGACTAAATTGCGATGTGGTGGACTAGTCTAATATGTCCTCCTCGCCAGCCCGCGCCACCGCCAAAAGCCGCGCCCCTGCCGTTGGTCACTTGTTCGACAGGCTGCTTCTCTCTGGGAGAAATTCGGGATGGTTGCAAGGCACGACACGTTTTGAGGAGCGACATCATGATGGGTTCAGCGTACCTCGCTCTCTCGGGAAAGCAGGGTGTATGCATTTGCAGTCCATACACCGTTGGTCGACACAAGAGGACTATTAGAAATATACATGAACACAGAAAGACTACCCGTTCGAGACATGACAGAGCAGTAGTCGAAAGGGGTGTGCTGAAGTCTCTTCAGTGATGGAGAGACACCGGCTGGAGTAGAGGACTATTTTGCCACAACAGCCGTTTGTTTTACAGCGGTGCTTGATATCTACTATTGTAACTGCAACCTGACTATCACATCAACAGCGCGGGAGGTACGATCCCGTCGTGTTCCTACAGTTAGTCGTATCGTGTGCAACACGTGCAGTCGACCGGTGTCGCTGCGACATCAGCTGAACCGCAGCGAGAGACGAACACGTCCATATGATGTCATCGGGCAGACAACGACCATGTGCTTGTGAAGCAGCAACGCAGTGGCACCGACCGGAAAATGCCTCAGTCAGTAACAAGCAACAGAAATAGCTACCCCACGCGTTGGTATACATGACATGCTTGACAACTATATGAATATCTCGGAGAGCAGCGAGGCAGCAGTCAAACACCGCTTCGTGCCTTTTCAAGAGCTGTTTTCCAAGACGCTCAACAGGGATTAGGAGAAGATTTTGGGTGTGTTAACGTCACCCCTCTGCTTCACCTACGAGCACAATAATACACCAATGCCATGCTACGACGACACGTTGACGCACCTGATAGCTTCTACGACACGGCGGACGACCAGAAGGCAGCGCCGAGGCAGTGCAAAAACTGAGACAGAGAGAGCGCTTGGGGGGCCCGGGGTATCTCCGCCATAGACGCGTATGCAACTCCTTTCGGAGATCTTCTTTCGGAGATCGCTCAGCAACCTCAGCAGCGCTGCTGTGCTACCGTGTGTGCTTCTACCTGCTGTGCCCACAGATGTGGTTCACCACCACCTCGCCCGCTGGAGTACGGACGCTGCTGACACGGGCAGGAGATATTGGGCTGGCTAGACGATGTAGCTTCCAAATGCCAGCAACCTTGAGAACGAGATGTGCCTGTCTGGTGACACCGCAGTGCAGGCGAAATCATCTTTGTGCGGCGGCAGCAACGCAACCCAACGGAAGAGGGAGAGCTATACCCGGGAGAACTAGGCGACCTGGTGCACCTGTTGAGGGGGTTATCGGTGGTAGCAGTCGTCGTTGGGTCTCTACGTTCGAAGAGGACTGCGAGGTCGTCGAGGAGTGCCACTTGCTTCTCTCGTCTCGACTAGACATTCCAGCGTGAGTTGTGTGCTGCGCGATAGCCCGTCCTGGCACTACTGCTGTATTGTATCTGTGTTGTCACGCCTGTGTCTCCGTTGCGACTTTCATATGATATAGCCAAGGGGTGTTCCGCATCGAACTTCGATTTTCCGGTAAATCGGTTCTGGAGAAGTTGTTTGGCGGCGGCGTTGTTGTACAAGGCCTGTCCCCCGACCTCCATGACAGCAGTGCAGCGTGAAGTAGCAGCTACACCTGTGCAAGCTGCCGCTGCTGCTGTAGCTCTGAGCTCTGGTCCTCGATGAAGCTATGGATACTCACACCTTGTCAATTCGTCAGCGATAAGTGGTTGACGAACCGGTCGCATATTCCCAGTGGCAGTAGCGGTACAGCAGTACTGTAGGTTCCGACGGAGGCATCCTTTCAACATCAGTTGGACAGGGGCAACAACGAAGAACAGGCCCTCACATGTCTCAGACTCCATTTTGGGCAGCGAAGTATGACAACGCCTGCCGCCGCATTACTGCCGCCACCCGTCCTCCACTTGTGTTCTCCATTCCCTCCTCTCCCCTCACTGCTGTCGCCACCAACAGGCTTGAGGCTCGGCTGGCCGAGCTAGACGCCCTCGTGTCCGATCCCAAGCTGTACGACGACAGCACCAAGGCTGGCAAGATCGTAAAGGAAAGGGCCAAGGTGGAGTCTAAGCTGGAAAACGTCAAGAGCCTCAACTCGGAACTGCAGTCCTGGCGAGAAATGTACGGTGAGGAGGTTGCGCGGCCAGCGCTGCTTGACACCCGCGGGGCCCTCCTAAAATCCAGTATCCCCTGTCAAAGGTACGGGGCTTGTGGGGAGTATGTATCGCCTCCCATAATCTAACAATTACTGCTGTATGCTCCTCTGGGTTGCTGCTTTTGTTCTGAAAGGCTTGAATGTCCTTCGGATGGCTGTGGTCGGAGGCTGACCTATCGTATGAGTCACACGCTGGCTAAGAACCGGCCATACCACACGCAACAGCAGTCAACGCCATTTTTTCTATACTGTATACCGAGTCATTGCCCGATACATCAACAAGAGAGGCGGGTGCATTTCTCGTGGTCGTCAGCACGACTTTCATTTTCAACGACCGGGCAACCAGCACGCCGTATCTCTACCGGGTAGTTGCTATCGGTGAGAAGTAGTATTATCTATTTTTCTACCCCCTTCCACGCCTTTGAAGAGGGTGGCTTCGTGTTACAGTAGCGTCTGCTTCGTTTGATCGAGGTAAAAGACGATCATGCCGTGCGTGCGGCTGCATCTCTTCACTTGCAACCATGACTGTTTTCGACCGCCTTGCAACGACGCTTTCTACCCTGCGGAACCTGTGTTTTGAACCACTTTTCGGCTATGCACGCTACTACTAATGATGCCAATGTGACAGAAATGGCTTCGCTGGAGGAAGAGGGGGACTTGCTCACAGAATGCATCGAAAAGGTACGAGCTGTGATGAAGGTTATTCCAGACTTGACCATTTTTTGCTGTCTGTTTTCTAGGGGACTGGGGGGATCGGAACCATGCACCAACGCACCCACCCCTTAATGCATGTACCACACGACCATTCCGTGTACCTGTATCTGTTCGCACTTCATTCGCCTGAGGTGTAACACTGAGAACGTTCAGGTTTACTCCTGTGTACCGTGTAGTGAGCGTTGTCGTCAGAGCGTAACTTCGTTATTTCCCCTCGCAGCGGCCAGTTTCTTGGCGACCCTCCGACCGCAGCAACAACGGTGTATGCCTGGCACGCTGTTGGTGGTGGTGCTCAAGAGGCCCCCCTAGCTGTTAATAGGGCGTGGCCGTTGCACTCTTTGGTTTCACGCTTACGCCAGGAGAGTGCTTTGTACACGTTCCGCTCCAGGGAACCAAAGCTCCGCCTTCTATTCCTCGTGAATGTGTATGTTAACTGTTTTTCCCGCTGGGAAGTTTTTGTGTTGGAACTGCAGTTATTTGCCTTTTGAGGAACATCTCTGACGTCTGAAAAAAAGTGTGGTATATATTTCCGTTGCTAAATACAACGTTTTTTCTATCCCCGGCTGGTGGAAATTGATATGTTTGCAGGTGGGAGCTCTCCGGAAGCAGGCAGAGCGCGCCAGAGCAGAGACCCTGCTCTCACTTGGGGGAGAGTTGTCCGCCTCGAACTGCTACCTGGAGCTTCAAGCCGGGGCCGGTGGCACTGAGAGCCACGACTGGACCAGCATGCTCTACAAGATGTACACGCGCTGGGCGGAGACGAAAGCCTTTACCCGTGAGTTTTTGGTGGATGTACTGCTGTGGTCTGCCAGCACGCGACCTATGGTCGCTTCTTCTGCGGATCGTGGTTGGTAACTTCTGTCGGAGTCTTGTGGCCGGCCACACACAATCACGCGGCGGCCGCTTGTCCAGCGCATCGAGACCGGGTACAGTCATCCCTCTCGACGCTAGGCCCGACGCTCTTTGCTGTTGGCCCGCCACGCAAGCTGCACCGACGGGTGTTGTTTCATGTTTGTTTTTGGCACATGAAAGCAAGTTCCTTTTGAGAGTCGTTCTCCCGCAAGCAACAAGTAAGTGCGCACGATGCAGAGAGGACCCTCACGCATCGTCGACACCTTTCGGCCGAAAACAAGTACGCACACCACCGACGTCTTTCGCGTGACTGCTGCCTCCACCCCCATCACTTTACCCTCTTTTGCTACGGCCACGAAAAACTAGTGCAGCCGTTGAACTCCAGCCCAGGAGATGAGGCCGGGCTACGCAGCGTCATGGTGTTCGTGGAAGGGGAGTCGGCGTACGGCTGGCTGAGGTCCGAGGCGGGTGTGCATCGCCTTGTGAGAAACTCGCCGTATGACCCAAACGGACGACGGCACACGTCGTTCTCGCAAGTCAGGGTGTTCCCGGAGGCAGGCGGAGAGTCTGGTGAGAACCAACCTGTGCTCGATACCTGGCGCCGCAGATGTGCTTTTACCGTGCACTGCTCCAATTTTACTGTACGCCGTAGAGACGGATTGGGCATGGGGGGGGGGTGTACTCATAGTCGTGCATGCCGTAGTCGTTAGACCATTGACCTCGCATCCCTACAAAGCCGGGACGGAGCACGCCGGGTTCTCACCGGACCAGGCTCTCACATCACCAAGCGCGAAGCGCCGTGAGGTATTCGGCGAGTCGCATGAAGGGTGCGCTGCATCCTGCTAAGGGTGTTCGGCATCTTGTGCTTACTTCCTTGCGTACGGATGACAGCTGCGTATGACTTAATTTATTTTCTGGTGCTTTCACTTCCAGCGACAGTTATAAGCGCTGTGTAACTGCCTCGAGGATGCTTGTCCATTTTAACACAACGTGGTGCGATAATCCCCCTTGCGCGGAGTGAGGGTTCTCGACCCCGCACAACATGATCTACTCGACCACCATAATGATTACAGCCAATAAAAAAAACAGAGGAAAAAAAACAACGGTAACCTGGTTGCCGAGTTCACGAAGTGAATTGGCTTGTTTTACAACGTCGTTGCCACGCGACGAAAACCCAATCCAGATGGCAAACACCGGGGGAGGCGACGGATTGGGCATGGGATCGGACAAAATATAGAGGTGGTGCGGGGCAACTGCTGGCCCTCCCTCTCGTTTTCAACGAAGCTTGAAACTGTTCTTGTTTAGTTTGTGGGGGTGGTGGTGCAGGTGTTGCGGGCGTTGGTTGGGTGTGCACGAACGAGGGGATAGGGTTGGGAGGTTGCAACGGCAAAGAAAGTGCTGACGAATTGACAAAGACCTGCCTGTAGTGCTCCCTGAAAATTCGAAATGTGTACCCGATACTGTGACATACAACAGCAGTACACGGTCGCGTCTCAATTCGTATGCATCACCTTGAAGCGGGAATGCACCAGACGATAAACGGTCGCCCCAAAGAATTCAATGTTGCTCGATCACAAAATTCCCGCTAGTGAAGGAAAAAGAATTGCTGCTGGTGAAGGAATGACTCCCGAGCTTGCTACACACTATTTAGTTGGGCAGGCAATACAGGACACGCCTACCTCACAGTCAACAATCTTTGAATTCCAAGCCAACAAACCTTTCTCGTGTTGGTGTTTTTCGATTGGGCGAAATTTGTCGTCCCAGCTCTCTTGATACAGACAAGCTACGCAGGCCCAGCCTGGTCGTCGATTGAACCCGTTCTCAGCACCCGAAAGCTCTGACTCGCCTTTGTACCCCAGTCGTGTTACCTACTTTGGCCTGCACACAGGTTTGTGTCTAATGTTATGTCGGTTTCTCACTCACGTATGAAACCGTCGACAGGAGACGCCGCCAAGGTCGAAATCCCGGCCAAAGACCTAAAGGTGGACACCATGCGGGCCCAAGGCGCGGGGGGGCAGCACGTTAACACCACCGACAGCGCTGTCCGCCTGACCCACCTCCCGACTGGGCTGGTAGCTCTCAGCCAAAGCGACAGGTCTCAGCACAAGAACCGCGAGAACGCGATGCGTGCTTTGAGAGCCAAGGTGTGTACTGTACCCCCGGGGAGTTCGTCTGCATGCGTGCTCTCCTTCGCGTTTGGCTACATACGTCCGCTTGTGTTTGGTGAGGTTCATTGGGTTGCCCCGCCCCGTGCCCCGTAGGCTCCGTGGAGCGTGGCTACGATCCGGATCCGCTCACAAAGGTTGTTGGACTGTTCCACATCGTCCCCTGCGGTCGATCCCTTCTGAAGGGAGCTGACGTAGTGCACTATGCTGCGTGTTGGGCTATGTCATCATTCTGAAGTCACTCCGCAGCCAAGGCGGATTCCCTTAAGTGCGACTGACCAACTAGTGAGAAGATATAAAAGCCTGGGTAAAGTGTCGACGCTAGTGAACTATTCATGATTCATGGCAATACACCGAAAAAGAGATACGTATGGTTGACTTTCCCGGCAGCTCGTTCCTTTGTGCTGGAAGCTCTTCACGTGAATCTTGGACACGATGTTGCGGTAGGTTAGTGGTGTTTTGGTGAGGCGTTGTGCAATTGTTGGTTGCCAAAAAAAAAGTGACCTCTATTTGGGTGTTGACTAACAGAAAATCCTATTACACGTTTGTCCATCGACGACAAGCTGCTACATATATAATTCTTCCGCGAACATATTAGTTGTTCTGTTTTGGCGACATGCTCATGCACGCTGGTTCGTTCGTTGTGCTGCTTTGGCGACACATGCTGATACGTTGATTGGGTCGCATGGCATGGACAGATCTTCCAAAGAAAAGAGGAGGAGCGACACGCCAAGCGCAACGAGTACGCAGCTGGCCTAGGAGACAACGCCTTCGGCAACCAGATCCGGTCCTACGTGCTGTCCCCCTACCAGATGGTGAAAGACCACCGAACAGGGAAGCAGGAAGGGGATGTGTCTGGCGTGCTCGACGGAGGTCTGGACGGGTTCATCGATGCCGCCCTCATCGCGGAGCATAGCAAGGGGGGCGAAGAGAGGAGATAGCGTTGGTGGATGTTGGTAGTGGGTGATGGGGTTGAGCCTCGGCACGACTCTGTTCACAACGCGGGATAGAAGCTGTTCGCGCGCAAGCGATATATTCAGCCCGGATACTCACGATGGCAGGGGAGGGCTGAAAGCTTATGGTGATCCAACTGAAAGCATAGACAGCTGGCAGTAGAGCGTCTCATGGAGAAGGGGGCCTTCTGTGTGACCACTGTGGCTGAAGAAGAGAGGGGCTAGACTGACGTACATAGAAAATAGACGGTGGGATCCAACACGAAATTACAATGGCGTAAGAATTGATCAAATGGTTCAAATTTCTCGTGCTAAGGTTTTGTTCTGCTGGGAAAGTTGGTTTTCGCGTGTTGTTGAGATTGGAAATATGTCCTGATAGCATCTTCTTGAGTCGTCTGGTGCTGTAAACGTTTGTACCTGAGAACCGTGGCTCGGTTTGATGTACAGCGGTGCGGCGGTTGTTGATGAGTCTGCAAGGTCAACGATAAAGCGGTGTGCAATAAGTACTTCCGTGCTGCGGACACAGCACTGTTGAACAAACATGACGCTTACCTTTCCGCACGCTGCGTAGTGCGATCTACTCGCTCACCTCTGCAACTATTCACAACGCGCCAACGATTATTATAGCTGTCTTTCGTGAGCAGGACGTTTGCCGACACCACCTCCGATGTAGCAGGCAACGCTTACCCTTGATATCCAAGGTGCGTCCACATTTTCGCGCGAAAAACGCGCGCTGCCACACGTAACCGCTACTACTGTTTCGGTGCCTGTGTGCGTGTACGAGTTATGACGCTCGCGGCCGCTCGTTGGGAGAATCTTGCACAGAAAAGGGAAGACTCAATTCAAGATATTTGCTGCTAACGAGAGAAGGGTTGGGTGAGGCAAGGAGGACCTCGCTCGTGACATCAATCGTTCAATCATACCCACAACATCATCCACGTAGCCCTCGGAGGCCCCGTAGATCATTAGCCAGCTGGCACGTGCAGCAAAACATATTCTTCCTTTTGTAGACGACTTCGGCTCATCACACTATTGGCCCCACATGGTCACAGCACAGGCACACACAACAAATGAGGGTAAATACTGCACTTCGCGTGTAAACTCTACGTTTCCTTCTATTGGCGATACCTGATACCTATTTAGAGCTGGTGCACTTCACGGTGCTACACTCACGCTCAATCCTACACCGCTTGGTATGTATGCAGCAGTCACTCGGAACGACCCGTCACGCCCAACACTCCCTCGTCGGACCAGCTCCACACCACCCCCAGTCGACGTCACCGCCCACCGCACGACCATCTCCCCCTAGGCCACCGCCATCGGGCATCGGTCGATGATGCGCCGCAGCCACCCCTCCCGTCTCCTCGTTCACCTCCACAGACCCCCCTCGTCCGAACCGCTCGCCGAACACCCCGTTCTCATTCCGCGAGCCGCTGAGATTCGAGGAGGGCTGTCGCCGAAGCGCGGGAGCAGTGGCCGGCCGGCGCGCACCTGCGTCCTCTGCGGTGGTGGTGGTGGTCTCTTCGCACCGGAAGCCGTGGGGACTTCCCCACGCGGGGCTGCCGCTGTGGCTGTGGTCGCTGGGGAGCGCCGTGACGGGCCTTCCGAAGCCCTCGCTCTTTCCCGGGCGGATCCGCCGCATCCCGAAGCTCTTGTCGCTGGGCGTGGCCGACATGGGTCTGCCGAGGCCCTCTCGACGGCCCGGGTGCGGCCTCGTCATTCCCCGCGTGCGGTCGCCGGGGGGCGCCGTGAGCGGGCGGCCGCACCCCTCCGAGGGAGACGCCGTGAATCCTCCTCCGGTGGCTAGGAAGGACAGTTCGTGATCCAGAGGTGACCCCAGGGGTGGGGGTAGGAGAGGGTCGTCCGAGGGAGGCGCTGGCAGTTGGGTTTGCGGTGCTGCTGGTGGTGCATTGGGTGGTGCTTCTTGGTGGTCATCGCCTCCCCCTTCCAGCAGCGGGAACCAAGACATGCCTGTTTGGTCGATTCAGGGAAGGGAGAAGTTGTTTGTGCTTCCTGCGGATTTCTTTGGTAGGGTGCGAGGTTTCGTACGTGAACGACTACACCCCTACCAGATGAAAAACATAACAAGGACTCCTGTTGGCTGCTGCTGCTGCTGAGTAAAGTGCGATGTCAAGGAGGGAAGATGAACGAATAAAACCATTAAACCTGGGCTTGGACGGGGAATGCAAGACCTGCCCTGCTGCAATTCCTTCGTACACGATACATGTAACAAGAGGCACCACAGGCACTAATGTGAAGAGGAGCACAGGCAGAAGTTTAAGTGGTTTTGGTACTGAACCGCGTTCGTATCCTCCACGGCAGTCTTTCCCGGGAAGGGGAATGCGGCATTATTTCTGACTGCTGTTACATATCCTGGCATGCTGTCGGCAAGTAATCTAGCCATCTATCTATGCTGTTGTTGAACCTTCGGTCGGTTGGGAGGAACATATGCACGCATAGGAGCAGGATGCAACAACCCGAACAACCAGAAAAAAAAAGGGCATCAGACAAACGCCACGCCCGTTTATTCTTGCGTACGCATGGAGCGGTTAGCGGGGTTTGCTTGAGAAGGTATTTTCAAAACTCACCTTGATAGGCGGTGGCGATGTACGACGGACACGCGATCACGGCGCTGAGCGGACAAATCACTGCCTGAGCGCCGGGTGCCACGCGTAGCCTCAGCCCAACCGGAGGCGTGCTGAGGTTTAGAGCAGCTTGTAACTCTAGTGCTAAGGTGGCGGTGTCTCTTTCAAGACACGCGGTGTTTGCCGCCAAGTTGAGCTTGATGTCCCATGCGCAGTCCCCGTACTGTACTGAAACGACGGCACCCCTGTTGAATGACATGACTTTTTTTCTGGCGAGTTGCGCAGCGCAGTGAAGTTGGGGGGCAACCGGCAATTGGTTTTGCCGGGTGGGGAAAGAGGAAGAGGTACATCGTGCGGTTGGAAGGTCACCGTCAGCAACAGCACGTAGTGCACACCACGCACGGCGCTTTCTACATACTCCGTGCGTGTTTGGCCTGGATGATACCCATAAGTTCGGTCGAAAAAGGGGCCACATACACAGCCCTACATATATTCGTTTGCCGGGATCTGTTTTGGGAGAGAAGGGAAAGGCTTTACAGATAGCACAGGTCCAAAGTATAGTTCGGCTGAGCCATGTGGCTTGAAAGCAGCATCTAAGCTCGCGCGCGCGCAGGAGAGAGAGATCCAACTCCGATCCTCGGGCGGAGAAGCATTCTGCACATAGCAAAGATCCCTGAAGGTTCTGAATTTTTGCAAGGATTTCCTTCCACATGCGCCGCTCTCCTTTTGCCGACACCCTCCCGATCCAACTGCGACCTTAGGCTAACTTGACCACACGCACGAACCTGGGTGCCTCCGTTGTACAGCCCTTCTCTCAAGCTTGCGTCACGGGGCAGGGCTTTGCATGCCCATTCAAGATACCAGCGGGGGGCTCGCAGCTACGGATGAAAAATCCCATGCCCCCCCCCTTCCGTTCGCGCAATGCCTCCGATGCACATGATGAAGGTGTCTGTGCAGCAGCGTGGTGTGCTTGCGAGTTGCACTCACCTCCCAGCAGCCTGCTGTCTTCACATGGGCTGCAAACGGCCGCTTGGGGCCATCACAGGTATATATGCTCTAGGCATGCGATGTTCGCTTGCCTTCGTGCCTTCCACGGCACCTCACGCCTTGAGGCTCGCCAGCAATGGATTGCACCGCGCGCGTGGTGCGGTTGTTCCAACATCAACACGTCGTTCTCTGGGGTCAGCGAAGACCACGACTAGCATGGACACCGCCAACGTAGAGCGGAAGAAGGTAGTCTTTCTCGGCACGCCAGAAATCGCGGCTTCGTCTCTGGGACTTCTCCTGGAGGCTTCTAGACAGGGCAAAGGCGGTGGGTTTGACGTGGTTCGGGCGGTGTCCAATCCCCCGGCGCGCACAGGGCGCAAGAAGGTTCTGCAGCCGTCCGCCGTTCAGGCTCTCGCCGACAGCGAAGGCATCACGGTCATGACACCGGGAACCGCCCGCGACGAAGAGTTCTTGGCCGGGCTGGAGGAGCTGCAGCCGGATCTGTGCATCACAGCAGCCTACGGACAGTTTCTGCCGCGAAGGTTTCTGGACATCCCCAAGTTTGGCACCCTGAACGTGCACCCCTCGCTGCTGCCGCTGTATCGGGGAGCGTCGCCGGTCCAGCGGTGCCTGGAGGCCGGTGATACCGAGACCGGGGTGACGGTAGCGTTTACGGTGCTAAAGATGGACGCGGGCCCTGTCGTCAGGCAAACGGTGACTAGTCTTGTACAGAATTATGTGCCTTTTAATTGGGGCGGCAAAACACTGCGTGACAGCAGTTGAACGTACAGCAGCAGTAGTCGACTACTGGTAGATATTCTTGTGTTTCGCCAACGTCGTTTAGTCTTCACAGTAGTTGTACTTCACAACATGTTGTACATCTTGCGAAACCTTAGTCTATGCCCACATAGGTTCCCCTTCTCTGGTCGTGCCGCAGCTGTGTATTTTGTTTATCAAACATGTCGTACATTTCACCGTCGTCGTAAAGAGTACGAAGCACAACACAGGAGGCTATTAATAGAGGAGCTGGGCATTCTCAAGCCTAACAAGGAGTCAAACGAGACCAATACAGCGGTGACACTGTGCCTCGACAATCCAGCCTAGTCCTAGAACCATGCACTGGCGGCGCCGCGCTCGCCAACAAAGACTCTGAGCTCGCGACAATCCACAATTCCCATGGCAAAAAGGTGCGCGAGCTGGATGGCTCCGAGAAGGCACCCGAGCTGCTGCAAGAGCTGTTCTTGGAGGGCACGAAGCAGCTAATCGAGTGCCTGCCTGGGGTGTGGGACAACACAGTCGAGTGAGTGATCAAGCCGTCTGTAACCCATTAGACTACTCAGCCAGCGCTGACTCGAACGGAACAGCCTTTGTCGAACACCGTCGCTTGGCCCCTTCGAGACTAGAAGCGTTAACGAAGCTGTATTGCTTGCTCGGCGAAATTGAATGTTGGTGGTGATCATGTTGCGATGTGGCAGACCAGAACGTCCTGGAGCAGTTCAATGTGTTCGGCAATGGCAGCCACATAATGGAAGGCTCCACTCCCAACATAGGGGTCCAATAAAAAATAATTAAATTATTTCGCGCGAAGCGCGAAAAAGAACCGGCGGAGAAAGAGACGAAGGCGTAGATAGATATGGATGGAGCCTCACAGAGAGGCCACCACTGCTTTTGCACATGCTCACACCTCACCCAACACCACCAGTCAGCCGTGTACGCACGACTGCTACTGTTTAGCAGCGCGGAGAAGAGTGAAAGTGTTGTGTGGTGTGGACGAAGCTCTCATGAATCATCGCCAGCTGCTGCTGCTGCTGCTGCTGCTGCTGCTGCTGCTGTCGCTGTGTGGATGTGCACCACTTACGCTCGTAGCAGCGGCAACGGGCTCTAAAAATCGCCCGACGCCCTCTATGTGTGTGTGTATTTGGTCGCCTTGGCCGGCAGCGTGTGTACATCTCATTGCCTCTCTGTTTTCGGGCGGGTCTGTTGTGGATCAAGAGAAGATCGCCCTGCAGACAGACCGGCGAAGATAGCCGCAGACTGATTGACTTGTGTGCACTTGCTTCACTCGCTTATACGCTGCTGCTAGCAGCAGGCAACGGGCTTCAAAAATCGCTCTCGATTCTTCGCATGATGTGCTCCTTTGGCCGCCTTGCCTGCAGCAGTTTGTACGTCTCATTGGGTTAGGGTTAGGGATGCACCACTCTGTAGCAAGCTCAAAAGATCGGCCTGCAGCAGCAGCAGCAGCAGCAGATTTGACTTGTGGCGCCTCCCTCGCTTGTGGTGCTGCCGACAGCAGCCAACCGGCTCTGACAGTCGAACCAGACGTCCTAGTATGTGTGCCTTTGGCTGCCCTTGGTCCACAGTAGTCTTGTGTGCTGCTGCTGCTGTGCTACGTCTTTCGGGGGATTCCCGCTCGGCGGCGTGGCCACATCGCCCAATCATCTGTCTCTGTACTACATAATGTCCTATATAGTCGACATGTGATTGGTGGGAGGACGGCATCTACCCGGCTCTACCCCTCTAAAACATAGATGTTTTTTTTTGTTCTTCCGGTCCAACATAATTTTTGCCCTACGTATGGGTGCTGTGCCTAATGGAACCTTTTGCACAATGTCCTGTTCCTTTCTGCTGCTGCTGCCGGCGCGTTCCTAGTGTTGTACCCTCTCTCGTGGTGCCCAATAAGGCCTCTCCTCTCAGCCTCGACGTTCGACCCACATCTTCACTGTTAAGTGCAAGAGGACTGCACGTCCCTCTAGCGCATGACGGCGTCTTGACTTCCGTGTTGCTTACTATCCCACGCTCACCCGCCATCGCCTCCTTGCCCAGGAAATCCCCGCAAGACGACGCTGCGGCAGTGAAAGCCGCCAAGATTTCTGTCGACGAAGCGCGCTGCTGCTTCAAGACTACTAGCGCCACAACAATTCACAACAAGTGAGGGTCTGTGGTTTCATGCCGTTACTCGTAAATGCTTGAACTTTCTCGGGTAGAATACTTTGAAGGAGGTGTTGTACCATGCGTTCAAGCGGTATCCCGTGGAGTTGGTATGCTGTTTCCTCTTTGCCCCCCCGCGACAGCCGGCGTGTGTAGCACTGTCCAGAAGCTGTGAGGAGGGTGGACGGCGAGCATACAAAAAGTAGGGTTTCCCCAAGCGTCAGGATTTTTTTTGTGATTTCACTACCACTGCTGTTGCAAGTGCACGTTCTCCCCATATGTTAGTTAACCTCGGTGATATTTATTGCCTACCTTTTCCCCTACTGTATTGAACATTCTTTCTCGCAGGGTTAGGGCGTTCGCGGGCTGGCCGGGCACATGGGCCATGTTCTCCTGGGGTAAGGAAGGCACGGACTCCGAAGCGCGAAAGGTGAAGCTCATCACCACAGCGGTTGCGGATCCAGCGGCGGCCGGCGATGATGCAGATGGTGGAACCATCGAGGAAACCGCAGTCGCCGAGCGACAAGTGGTGATGAAGGGCGACGCGCTAGAGTTGACGTGTTCGGACGGTAGCGTCTTGAGAGTGCTGGAGCTGCAGCCGTTGAATAAGAAGGTCATGAGCGCGAAGGCGTTTGCGAATGGTCTTAGGGGAGACGAGATGAGATGGGTTGAGCTAGAACCCTTGGCAGATGCGGTTCCAGCATGATGACCTATTCGCTGCTGGCCAACGTCTTTAGGTAGTTGATGTACCTTAGGGGTAATTGTTTCACCACGCCCCGCTGGTGTGGACTGTTGGTGTGACGCAGGGCAAACGGTGTGTCGTTGATAAATTTCTTTAGCCCTGGAAGTTGGCTTTTGTCTCCTAGTTGCAGGGCACTCCGGGGTCAATGCCGTTGGCGGTTTGTCGATTTATCCGAAAAAATCTATTTGAACAAGATTCTTGTACGTCATGTCGTCCACAAGCAAGTGTGACGAAGGAATTATGCACTCGCGTCGCCATTACTCATGAAGAGGGGATTCTCTTCTCAAGCGGATCGAAACAAATCCGATAAACGGTCCGTATTCATGCCTAGCAAACAGCGATCAGCTAACAATCCCTCAGCCTCCTTAACCGTAGTCGCTCTGCAAGCGGTAGCTTGGGTGGCGATTGTCCTGTTATTTTCTTCATCTGGTCCCCTTCCTCGCTACCGTCGCTGTCGTATCGATCGCTGGTGGTATCAACGAACGAAATGTGCTTGTTCCCATTGGCAAGCGCTGGCGACTTTACCCCGCCCGGCATCTCTCCAGAAGCCGGAAATCGTTCTGGCTGCCCACTTCCCTCGGAGTCCTTTCCTGCTCGTTCAAGACTCAGCCTCCAGCAGCTGTCATCGTCGTTGTCGTCTTCCTCCTCCTCATCTTCCTCCCCCGGATAAGGTTGTGAAATGAAATCCGTCGACCCCGCATCGCTGCTCCATCCTCCTGCGCCGTCGGAATCGTGGCCATCACCATCGCCCCCACCTTCGTCGTCCTCGTCGTCATCGCTGCTGTCGTCTACTCGCCACACCGGAGGACCACCGCCATCACCGCCCGCTGCACTGACGTTGTCATCCACACCGCCGGTCGACGGCGACACCCGGGGGCGATACCCCCCCGCTTCCTTCACTAGCCGCGACCACAGCAGGCGCCGCGAACAAGCGGGCACCCAGCAGTTGCCCTCGGAGGGGATCAGCTCACGTACTTCGTCGCCGGCGTCGCGAAGCATTCGGTCGGCCAGGCACCGCACGTGCACCGAAGCCCCACAGTGGTAGCAGGACATCAACATCGCTCCCGCACAGAACGACTCCACGCATAAAGCGCACCTGCTTCGCCGCTGAGCTTCCAAACGCTCCTCCTGAGAGCCAGGGGGCGACTTGTAGACCGGTAGCCCCTCCTGCGCCCCCGTGCTTAGCTCGGTGTCGGGATCGCCCTTCACTGGGAGGGGCTGAGGTAGGTTCAACTTGCTATACGACGCGGCGTACTCTTCTCGTAAGAAGCGAATGCCCAGGCCGTACCTGTGTCGGTGGTGGCGTCGGCGTGGTAATGGTTTGCGCTTGTGGTGAGTGCTTCGTTTGTGCAGGGTGGGTGGAATGCTAAACCTCTTCGATCAAGAGGGAAACATTGCATGACACAGATGCTGGTGGGCATGAGATGACCCAATGCACAAAATCAGCCAGAAAGCGAGTGGATGCCCACACCTGAGATAGGTGACATGCACTTACAACAGTTTTTGCTTGTTGGCCCGCCATACACTTGCGAGGTGGCTTTTTCGTTTTGCAATCACAGCAAGCGGTTCAGGTACAAGTGCTATACAGAAGATATAGAGGCACGTCATACTCACCCCTACACCGTGCTACACAATACTGATGACGTACATTCCACAGAAACCCTTTCTACACTTGTGCGAGTGTTCGGTGTGCGGCGTGTCCCCGGCTTCTTGTGCAAGACACGCTTTTGCTAGAATGAGTGTCGGTTGGACGTCTTGTTTCGTTTTGGACCACGCGTGTTTTGATCACCGTCGCCCCCACCGCCCAATGCTCAAAACGGACGTCAGGCACAAGAAAAGCTTACACGTGAACTCCAGTGTTAGAACAAGTTGTGCACATCATTCCTTCAGAGTACGCATGCCACGTGGGAGTGCCTGTTACGTGAACATCATCCCCCACCTTGCCCAAGGGTCGAGGCAGAGCATGGCCTTGCACAATCGGAGCTTTCCCGGTACTCCTACTGTTCGACGCGAGTCCACCGGCAAGTCGGGTACTTTTACTTTGATGCGGCGATCTCGTTGGGGGTGCTGCCAGGCAGCCTCAAATTGAAGCGCGGACGACTTGGAAGGGAAGCCGTGTACTATGGCCACCATATCCCAAGGGCGTTTACGCTTTGTCTGCCAGGGGGGGGGGGGGAGGGGGACGAAAACACGTTGGTTTGCGTCTCGAGCGGGTCCGAATCAACCCGGCCGGCTTAACGCGGCTAACTCACGCCAATACTTGAGGTACAGTCGTAGGCCCTCTATAAGGCAAGTAAAATTTGCTGGCACAGGCGGAATAATCAGTTGTTCTACACATTGAATATGGCGGGTGCCCTGTATGGGGCGGACGAATCGATCTGGCGCACACGCGCCTTATTGAGGGCCTACGACTGCATGTATATGGTGTCCGTGTCTACACCGAAAGTGAAAGTGCTACATCATCCAGTTGGTTTCTTCGTGTCTACACTGGAAACTCACCACCTGATACCTACTTCGAGTTATTTTGTTTGAAGTCGGACTACTACTGTGCTCAGCTTGGTAACATTGGCAAGGCTGTAGTTGTCGGAATCGCACTTCCAACAGACAACTTTAGTAAATACTCGCTGTGCGGTAATACAACATCAAGACGGTGGGTGGCTCACTCGGAATGCCCCGCCGATGATGTCTCCGCTGGAGGGCCGAGAAAGTTGCACGGTCGATTTAGCCAGGAAGGTACACATATTCGATGATTTCACCGCCGGGCGGCGGCAAACAGCAAACAGCGCACGTTCGAGAGAGCCACACGAGACAAGCGAAACAATTTCGCCGCACAGCAGCAGCATAAGCCACGGCTGCTGATGTGTTCTTGCGAAGATTTGATATTCTGTCCTGGCATCGTGGCATCGTCAGGTGCAACGCTATGATGGGCGGGTAGCCAGCAGCAGGATAAACAGGAAGCAAGACAGCAGGGTGCCTTACTTCTTCGCTGCTATGTAGGCCACCAGTTGGGTACTGCTGTCTCCGGGGGGGCACTAATGCATGCGTCGACAAAGATCATAGGCTGGGTTCTTCTGTGCGCGTAGCCCGTACCTCAATCGCTACCGTTAACTTACTTGTGTTGCCTGATCCTTCGACCGGGATCCACGGTGAAGCCTATGTAGGTCGACCGCTTGTGCTTGGGGTCTTGCGACTGCAGCAAGTAGCAGTGGAAGAATTTCTTGCGCGGATTGGCCTTGGGCATGGTGCTTTTGTGGCCTCTCTTGGCTTTGCGGGCTCCCGCGGCACCGCCACCTTCGTTCTCCGCTGGCGTTGCCATGGTCCTGCTGCTGGAGACTGAGAGAGAACGAGAGAGGGCGATCCGGCGTGGCGAGTGCGAATGTGCAGTAGACTACACGTACATACTAAGGTACATAGACAATTGTATCTTGACATGCGGCATCACATGAGGCAAGAGCAAACGAGTCCCGACTCCCTTCCAGCATTGCGCATATGCCTAAAATGATCTTGAGAGGTAGGCAAATGTAGGGGAACAGGGTCACGCGATGTAATTTACACGTGTATGTGGGACGTGGGAGCGCTTTACCGCTTTGGTCTTGGGGGGGTCACTGCTCTAGATACTGCTGTATTCGAGGAGTTAATTCATCAACGGCGGATATGGTATCGAGCAGATGACCCTCTCTGAGGTGGTTGATTACACTCCAGGCATTGAGACAGCTTGAGCGGTGGCAAAGCAGTAGTTATCTCCACTTCCTTACACCTGCTACTTACTCTCTCCCCGGAGATGTGTACACGCACGTGCACTTGTGCACACCTGTGAAAAGAGTGCCCGTTGGGATGTCGAATTAGGGCTGACAGGTAGCCTACACGCAAACAGGCACACACCTTTTCCAAAGCACACGTAGGTGGGCGTCGTCGTCCTCCGGGGTATGTGACAAGAGTTCAGCGAAAGCGATGAAGCGTGTGTGCGAGGAACCCAGAAGGGTCTTTCTCTCTCGTCTCTCGTCTCTCTCGTCTCTCTCTCGATCGCGGTCGGCGGTCGGCCCTTTCGGCGGGACTGTTAGTTTCGGCCAATCACAGAGGCTCCGCTCGCTGCCGGCCACTGCTCTATCACCATCCTCTCGCTCGTCCACTACGCTCTGCTCTCTGCCACTCCATCACGCCCAGAGACATGCGCCTGGTTCGTCCAGTGCTTTGCTCTTTCGCTCGCGCCGGGCATCGGTTACAGGCTCAGCCAGCAGCTGCATTCAGAGCAAGCGGAAGCTTCTGTGCCGACCAGACCCGCGGAAGTTCCTTTGTACCGGGAAGGAAACGAGCAGTTGCTCTCACCCCGTGTCTCGCAAATGCTCCGACAGCTGGACCCCTCCAGGCCTATGCTAAGCTAGTACTCAAGGGGGAGATACGGGAAGACAGGCACCAAGTGAAGGCGCTACACTTACTGCAAACGGTGAGGGTCGTTCGGCAATTATGCCTTGCTCTTTTGTGAACTGGTTTGCAGCACGCCGAGGGATCTCTTGAACTGGGAACGGAGGTCTTCTACGCATGGAGAACCTTCTTTGTTAGATGGACATATGCTCTTGCAATTCTGCACTAAAATCGCATAACGGCTCGTACTTCTCAACTCTACATCTACGCTGTCACGCAGCTGCATGCGTCTTTGGAAGGCTACCGACCACAGGTTCCGCTTCGCGAACAGCATCTCGGATTGTGGTCGTCTGTCCTCAACTCTTTGGGGGGCAACAATGACGACAACGGCAGCAGCGGTGGCCATTCTCAGCCAACCGAGAACACCCCGCGAGGCATTTACATGCACGGGGGAGTGGGAACAGGGAAGACATTTATGATGGACCTATTCTTCCAGGTGGGGCGTCGGCATTGCATTTTGTTGGGCTTGTAGAATGTGCAGCGCAGTGGTAGAGCCAGTGGTAGAGCCATTCGCACTCTGTGCTCCAGTCAAACACCTCCGGCACACCATGCTTGGTGTTGTACGACTTGTTCGACCATGTTGGCTCCACCCGGCGTAGTTTGGAATTGCTTGCGCCGCGCCGGTCTACCACACGCGGAGCATGCAGATGGCACGCACGCACGTTGTTGTCGGCCTCTCAATATCTCCCGGACACCAAGTGATATTCCATGTGGATGTCATGTGATAGTAAGTATTGTTGTCGTTCATGACGATAAAAGCTGTGTTATTTTCTGATTGCCAGGAGTCACCCGTAACCTCGAAAAGACGAGTGCATTTCCTGGACTTCATGCTAGACGTCCACCAGCGGATGCACAAGTGTCGGCAAAGAGGCATCAGCGGAGAAGTCATGGTCTCGACCGTCACGGATGAGATCTTGGAGGAAGGCTGGCTGCTCTGTTTCGACGAGATGCAGGTACTACTGTAGTCACAATAAGGATATCATTCTTTGGAAGCATCGGCCCAACTGACGGCCATATACTTCTAACCACCCTTGACACTTCGTCACCGTTTGTCTGTGAAGCGCCTGTCTTTGCACTCCAGTTTTTAAGGGTTGAGGGTAGAGGGGATACATTAGCGGGCTTCCTTTCGGGTGCTGAATTTTCCTTTCCGTGTGTTTGTTTGGTCTCCTAGCCTGAGCGGTGGTGTTCAAGCTCCTTCTACGTGCTCGCTAAACCAAAGAATCGAATCGAATGGACCCATCGGTGCAGGTGACGGATATCGCGGACGCCATGATGATCCGGCAACTGTTTTCCGGCTTGTGGGGGAAGGGGGCGGTTGTCGTGGCCACGTCCAACAGACCCCCGGACCACCTGTACCACAAGGGTCTCCAACGGGCGGCGTTCCTGCCGTTCATCGAGCAGCTCAAGGAGAGGAGCCACGTGCACTCCCTGGAGGCCTCTCGCACGGACTACCGCCTGCTCAAGGTAGAAGGATGATTCCAAGACCGCTGTGCTTGTGTTGATTCGTGTTCCTAAGTTTGTCTTCTCTTCCTGTGTGAAGTGTCGGATGGTGTCGTAGTTGGGCCGATTCGTGGTGAAGACTGAAGACCATGTGTCCCCGAGAAGGAAGGTGCGGAAGACATATCCCGCCGCAGCCCCCAAGAACACTATTCTTTTTCCCCGGCTTCTCTTTGCAGTACCTACGAAAGCACACCACCTCCCACGACGCATGGCTTCCTCGCCAACTCGCTCTCCGAACCATTATTAGCCTTTGGCCGAATGGCCGCAACGAAAGTCCCGGGTGCCGTACGGACGTCTGCGCAGCAGATGCCTCAGCTTCCCGTTTGAGAAGCGTGGGCGCTTTGGTTCTCCCGATCTGTTGCTGCACCTACCATGTGTTGCCGCAAGCGAGAAGCATCAACTGCTACACTCATACTCCGTTTTTCCGGCTACCTTCTCTGCACGGTATGCTCTTATTCATAATCTTCATGGTATCTGCGCGGGGGGGGGGCTGTAAACGTCCCAGGGTGTCGATTCTGTGAGCAAGGTGTACCTGAGCCCCGACAACGCGAAGAGCCGGGAGGAGTTTGACAACCTGTGGAAGGCCATCAGCGGTGGGGTTCAAACCGTTCCCGTGAATTTAAGGTGAGATAGATCCGGCCGCGTTTTGTGATGTTGTCCCTTGTCCGACGGAAGAACAGCAACAACTACAATATCAACAACGACAACAACAACAACAACAACAACAACAACAACATAAACGCCTTTTTCTTCTTCCGCATCTCGCAACCCGCTTGTTTTCCTCCCCGCATGCGCACTATCGCCCTGGTGGTACGGGACAATTCTGTAACAAATGCCACAGTGCGCAGGGGCGGTCGGTGAGAATCCCTCGCGCTGTGAAGGGGGGCCGGGTGGCCATGATGACCTTCGACGAGCTGTGCGGTAAGGCCCTCGGAGCTGCGGACTATACCGCCATCTCGGAGGCCTTCCACACCTTGTTCGTGCATGGGGTGCCCATGATGAACCTCGTCCACATCAACCAGGCAAGGCGCATCCGTTTGGGACAGTTACACTTCGCCTTATCGCTTTTGTGCCAAGGTTAAACTCGGTCTTGAAATTGTGTAGGTTTCGAACAAGGTGTCGTTGTTACTCGCGAGATTTGATTATGGGTCACTTGCTTGCTTCAGGAGGATATGGTCCAAGTCGCGCTAGCCGCCGAGCAATGATCTGTTGCTTTTCCACGCCGTTTGCTTCGGATCAGCTTGAGTCGTGAGGGATTTTGACGCCTTGAGTATCGAGAAAAGGGTGTTTCTTACACTGGGCGGCACTTCAAAGTTTATTGTACTGTTGAACCAAACGGTGTCGAGTCTTTTGGACAAACCCCCACCACCTCACCTCCCTTGGAATCTAGTTCGAGTAGAACCGTTGCTCTAGTTCACGAAGAATATCACCGATGACCCTGAAACCAAGGTAAGAAAGGGAACCGAGTGTGCGCTGCCGCCCCCTACTCCAACTCTGACTCCGTCCGGTCCAACAGGTCAGGAGGCTGATCACGCTGGTTGACGTCATGTACGAGCGTGGCGTGAAGTTGGTTTGCCTGGCGGAGGCGCTTCCTCTGGAGCTGTTCGATCCAGGACCGGGTCGGCGTGAGGATATGCCCGACGAGGTGTTTGCCTTCGGGAGAACAGCCTCCAGGCTGACCGAGATGCAGGGGCAGAAGTACCTCAAGAGGTGAGGAACGTCAACCTCTACCTGGTCAAGAGAGGTCACACCTTTGTCGCAGTACTTGGAGCACTGATGGCCTGGGTTTGGTCAGTTGCGTCCAGGCTGTGAGCTTTGCTAGAGACGCTGTTGTTCGCTTTGCACCAATCGTGAAAAACGTGCCAGAGCTACTTCTACCGTCTACATAATAACATTTGTTTTAGACGGCGCATTCCTCTCATGTAAGATGTGGTCACTTTACCTGTGTTTTGTGACGTATTTCTCCCCAAGGGCCGAGGTTTGTTTTGCTGATGTGCGACGGGTCCCCCTTTTTTTGTATGATGCCTGGGCTGGACTTGCAGAACCTGGAGACCTAGCGAGAACTACTTGGTGCGATTCACGGGGGAACAGCTGAGCGACGAGGAGTTGGTCAAGATCTGGGAGGCGTACGATGTGAACGGGGACGGTCGGATGGACAGGGAGGAGCTGTCTTTCCTCATGGAAGATCTTTGCGAGGTACAGCAGTTGACCACAACAAATATGGCCGATGGGTCTGTTACGTTACGACAGTGCAATCGCGGCAACGGCACGTGGCGTCTGGAACATAGCCGTGTTGTATCTGCCAGGGTTGGAAACTTCAGAGGGACGTGATCGTTCGCGGTATTGCTTTAAAATCGAGTGTCGAGCACTCCTTGCTCCTACGGAAAGCATGACCAAAGCACCGAAGACTTTGGTACCGTTCCCTGAGGCGGCCACACTCGGCACGTTTCTCGTCTTCGTGCCTGGTTGGGCTATGCGTACGTATGTACGTCAATACTGGTGTTCTCGGCCGGATACGTCGTCGTCGTCGTGCGATACATTCGCTTGATCACGGTCGTCGGAGTGTGTAGTGCATCATGGTTTTCTCGTGACAGATATTGTTCACCCGATTTCTCTGCGTCGATGTGCTTGTGTCGTTTCGTTTCGTCTCGGCTGCGTGTGCGGCACGACAGGCGAAGAACGGCCATCGGAACGTTCCCACGGAGGCGCTGGACACTACCTTTAAGGCGATGGACCTGTGAGTGCGGCGTGTCTATTGGGTGTGAGGGCGACCGCGACGTTAGTCTCGGCTAAATAGGATTCCCTATGTGCAGTCGTGACTCGAGAGTTCGGCCCGGATCTATTCGAAATCGTCTGTCAACCGCTCTAGATTTGTTTTTTAAACGCGTTGAGCGTCCGGGTTGTTGGGACAGATTTGTCGTCTGGTCACCCCTAATCGTTTTTGCATATACGCCATGCTCGTAGACGTCAAGAGGCACCCCTTTGTCCCGTTTGTCCGTGCCTGGCAACTCTCATGTTGGGTCTGATCCAGTATGTTCCTGTAGCTGGTCGCTGTGAAACAGGTCGTTAAACATTTTGTGTGACCTGCATTACTAGTTGGAGACGCAATGCCGCATCGAACAAAACGGAGACCCTACGACCGACTCGTCGTTGACACATCGGCTGTACGTTTTAGACGCTCTCTGCCTGGCACCATGTTTTGTTGCCTTCGGTAACAGATAGCAACCTCCCTCATAGGCCCGGGCAGCTTTGAGCCTTGGCAATATTAGGTTTCGATGTACATAGATTGCTGGTGTTTTCCGTTCTCCTCGCTGCTGTGCTAGTGCTTCTCTGTCGGATGTGCTATGACAAGGGTAGCTTCCCCTGTGCGCATTCGCGTTCTCCCGCTACGCTTGCAGGGAGAACGAGGGCTACGTGAGCAACAAGACTTTCATGAGGTTTGGACGGAGGTTCGGTCTGACCGTGTGGTGGTGAAGAGCCTCGAGTCGCGTAACAGCTCATGTGCCCTAGGCAGCATGCGGCGGGAACGGCGGCGGCGGGTTCTCTTGAAATATTTAGCGAGAGGGTTGATTCCTCAACCGGACCTCCGAGCCTAGAGTCAATAGATTTAACAGGGCGCTTGTTGGGCCGTACACTCCTTAGACGTCAGTGGTGCAATTGTTGTGGGGGGCACGTGCTGTGGTTGGACCAACACCTAAAAAATGTGCTGAAGTGCCTTACGTGTGTCAGCTGGGCAATACGCCGGACTGCCAGGGTGTATCTGAAAAAATAGCGTGTGAATTCCACCGGGGATTGTATGCATGTATGGGAACGTAAACAAGCTACAGTTTTATCCACAAGTATGATTCTTATTGTTGACGGAGACTGGAATCGATTTCGGAAAGTCCCCTTACACCTCCCTTGAGTTTAAGCAAACCGTGAACGCATTCGTTTATCCAATAAAATACCTCGGGTGGGCTTGGCCGCGGGTACTTTGAAGCGATTCCCTGACTCTAGGCCCTCACGTACTACCCTCCAGCACCAGTCAGGCGTGCTGCTTGCGCCATTTTCTAGGCTTTCCGTGACCATCAACGAAGGCCGCAATAGTCTGGATTCTGGTGTCTGGTATCAAATCCCTTAGCCAGCTCTCGCGAACGTACTAGTATTGAATGAAATTGTAGCGGCCGAGTGCCCGCCGAGGGATGCCGTTGACGCCGTACTATGATTGGAGAAACCGTCAGCTGTGCATGGTCCCGAAACATGAAATCAAGGCCATCCTTCGTTTTTCCTCTTCCGGGGAAAAGAACTCGCCCAAACCGAACAAGTTCACAAGAAGACCATTCGCTTGATTCCCGCAAGTCTGCGAGATTTCTGCTCAGATTGCCGCCTCAAACGCACTCCGACCATACAAACGTGACGTTGAGGGTCCATCCCAAGTACACGGACTGCAGTTGTACCTTCCTACACTAGGCTCTCTCTAGCCGCAACACACCGCGGGTCGCATTGGCAGCCACACTCGATTGGATACAAAACACTCAGCACCACTGGCACCCAACCATACAAAAAAGGCCAAAAGATTGGAAGCAAGCGTGCCATACATACTCGTGGTACAATGTAGACGACGGCGGCAGCAGCAGCAGCAGCAACGAACACAGTAGTGGAGACGGACACGAACATGGACGAAGTCTAAGAAAAAAGAAACAAACGGCGGCAACATCGGGCGCCAAAACGAACCGTGGCAACAGGACACAAAACAGTATTTATTTGTTGATCGACGACCGACCCCATGGATTCTCCGACAAGCGCTCTAAATCGATCGTGCTGAGTATCTACACTACCACCTACATGAAGCATCTCTTCTACCTACTCGCAGCCTGTTTCGCGGCACTAGGAGACTTGGATCGAAGCGGCGGCAGCGGCAAGGCCTCCTTCTTGTCGCCTTTCTTGGTCCCACCAGGAGCCGCCTTCCCGCCCCCTCCCGCCGTTCCTTTCACCTTCCCCTTGCCCTTGCCCCCTACTCCCGTTGCTCCAACGCTGCGAGTGCTAGTGGCATTGCTGCTGGTCTCGGCACGCTTCGGCCCCGTGGTCTTGGCCGGTGCAGAGGGCGACCTCTTGGGGGGGTCTACTCTTGAAGTGGCCCGGCGTCGGGGACTAGCCACTGAGCGCGAGCCCGGCGAGGACGCCGGTCTTCGAGGGGGGGGGGGTGTCGTACCCACCGACGGGACCCCCTTAGGTTTACCCTTCGTGCCCACGCTGCTGCTGTTTCTTGTCGAACCCTTCTTGTCGCTAGCAGTAGTTGTGGTTTTCCTTCTCGCGAGGGCTAATGGGGGCACTCCCGCGATTTTCGACCGCTTGGTACCCCCTCCCCCCGCCGAGATCGATTTCGACCGCCCCGGCGCCGCCAGCTTGGGGCTCTCTCCCCGAGCCACGGTCGTCACCGCGCTCACCCTCGGTGACGATGATGCTGTCTTACCTCTCTCCTTAGCCGCGTTGCCGGCCGTGGCGACCTTCTCTTTAGCGCCGCCGGAAGCTTTGCTGCCCGCGGAAGAGGCCGCGGCGGTGGCTTTCGCGGGGCCGCCGGTTTTCGAAAAGGCGCCTTTCGAAGAGGCGTTTTTCGAAGAGGCGTTCTTTCCGGCAGTACCTTCACCGGCGGCCTTGGAAGAACCTTTCGGGGTATCCGGCTTCGTCGCTTTCGCCGAAGGCGTGGATTTCTGCGGGGTAGGGGCGACGGCGCTGCTGTGTCGGGCGACGGGGGTAGGGGTGATCTTCGGCGGGACTGCTGTCTTCGTGACTGTTGGCGGTGTACCCTGCTCGGCGACGCTCTTGCTCTTTCCTAGCGCGCCCCTTGGAGTTCCTCCCTTGCCCTCGTCCTTCTTGCCGCAGCCGTTCTCCCGAAGGGTGCCATTTTTCTCGGCTGAGGAAGAAGCAGGCCGAGAGCCTGGTCGCGACTTGCCGGTAACACCCGCGCCGCTTTCTCGACCGGTCGGGGTGGAAGGCTTGGAGGATGACGGCCTGGTGACTTGGCGATGTCGATTGTGGTTACGGTGACGGCGTCCGCTATCTGAGTCGTTGTCATCGTCTGAGGAGGAGGTTGCGCTGCTGTTGCTGCTGTCACCGTGACCGTAGTCGTCTCGCTTTGACACCACTCGCGACTGGTCGATGGGAAACCTGCCGTCGGGGCGGGATTGATTGAGGTTTTTTGTGAGAAACATACGGGGGTGGGAAGTCTGGGACTCGATGTTCAGAGCTTTCGTGGCAGCAACAATTATGACTAGCTTCGATGACGACAACGCGCAAAATCGAATGAGATGCTTGAACAGCTTTGTAGATACGCCGACACCGACAACTGGGTATCCGTTTGCAGCACCGATGGAGAAAATATTTCGGCACGGCCTGTCCAGAAATGTAAATTGTACCGAAAGGAGCAAAAAGACCGATGAAACGTCCAGAGTAAATGGGAGATAATACAAAAAGTCGCTATGGAGTAATTGCTAATCTGCCTTATAGTCTTTTTTATAGATGCGGACGTATTCGTTGTGTCAAAGAAAATAAGAAAAAAATACGAATCACCGGAACAGACCATTTTGCAACACAAGTGACAGAATGTCTTATGCTTTACTCACTTTTCCCTGTAACGTCGGACGATACCCTCGACCTTTCTCTGGTCCGTGTCTACCAAGTCTAGCAGAACTTCACACAAGGAGTGGCCCATGGCCTCGTAGTGCCCCTGGTGGAAGTGGATGCCCTGAAACTCGCCCTGAAAGAAAACGTCGAGTTAAAAAGTAACCAGGAAGTGTAACGTGCCAAACAACACTGGTCCATTGTACGGTCTGCGCTACGCAACACGGGAAGCTGTAGCAGGTAGGTGTCTGTGCTCTGGCTCTAGACTATACCTGATCTGCCCCCATAAAGCTAGCCTCCATGGTGTAGGCGTTGACGATGCCGAGCTGCTTCCTCACCACCACTCTGCCGCATCCCTCCTTGCCCTTGCCGATCTACAGTACCGGTACGTCACACATCACACATCAAAGATGACGCGGACCGTTGATCAGCAAGGGACAACTGATGACAGGAACAGAAGCGAATTATTCCACCTTGCGAAAACAAAGAGCGGCATCCATTCTCCCTGAGAGTTAGAAAGTAGATATAGTACGTGCGATGACCAAACCTTTAGTGAGAGAGACGCGCTACAAAATGGCCGATGGGCTCGACATGGGGGTATCGAACAGCTTCAATGACACGAAGCCCAGCAAACGAACAACTAAAAATTCGAACAACGACACCAACACACGAGTGGCGCTTGAACAATCACCGGAAAGTCCTCGGTCTCTCTCGCACAAGCAACAAGAGTTTCTCACTCAGGTCGACAGCTTGCTCAAAGTCACTCGCGTCCAGAGCGTTCTCACGCGATAGCAGTGTTGCTCCGCACGTACGTGTGTGGGTGCATACCACCAACAAACTCACGTCGAAGGTGCAGTCTGCAAAGTTGAAGAGTGGGCTGGCTTGGTCGAGAAGGGTGGGGATGATGCGCTCTCGCATGTATAGGGCCTCATCGGTGGGGTTCTCCACGCCGTACATGAAGATGTTGCTCTTCTTGGAATGGCCGTGCAGGTCCACGTACAGCAACACCTGTAGCCACGACACGGTAAGCGTTGCTAGGGTTAGGGTTAGGCTAGCCGCGAGGTGCATTATTACGGGATCCTTGTCGTCCCGCCTATGTGTACGTCATGAGATTTCACAGGCAAGCGAATACATACCAGCGATTTGGGACACTGGTTGATGAGTAAATTCGTTCAAATCGCTGGTATTCGACCTTGCAAAAGACAGAAGAAGTTGCCGAAGCAGCGGCAACGACAACAACAACCCACCTCCTTTCCGATGCCGAAGTTGGAGATCATCTGCTTGAGGTGTAGGACTTCGGGGAAGAGCTCCCGTTTCGGGTTATCGTACTGCCATCATCAACAACCAGACAACAAACGAACATGAAAAATCGCGCCGAAACAGGAGACGAGCGCATGGTTAGACTCGCAATATGCCTACCGATACAAAAAAAGCACGATTCGACCGTGTGTATATCACGCCCCACCAACACAAGAGCGGATGCGAGCAAGACGCGACCATGATCGATGGCACAGCCACTCCAACGTTAAACTAAGGTCTGCGGTGGAAATAGGCTGGTCTCGAAGGTGCAAGCTACTCGCACACAGCAGTGTAACACGGCTCGATCACAATACAAGGAGCCAAAAACAGTTCTACCGGACAACATACGTGAACTATTGCATTGATCCGAGCATCGGCTGTCTGCTTAGCGGATGGTTTACAACCGCATGCATGCAGCACCTGGCGGTTGAGATCGCCCCCCGCGAGCGAGCAGCGGTAGTTCCCCACGATGACACCGTCAGGGTTTAGCATAGGCACGATCTTGAAGATGAACTTGTCCCTCAAGGCGACGGCACAGTGGCAGTCGGAGCTCAAGTAGTCCAAGACCCCCTTCATCATCCAGGAGGCGTTAGTCTCGCCGGGATGGACCCTTGAGAGTCAAAGGATAATAAATTATGTAGAGTTACAGAGGAACCTACTACCCTGTACCGTATTATTATTGCCTTCTTTCTTTAGTACAATCGGTCGTCTTCCCTTCTTGTTACCACGTGGCCAAGATTGATGTGCATCCCTACCTTAAAGTGAAAGGAAAGGATAAAAACACGAAATCAGGGTTGATTTATTGGAGGTAGGTGTGCTTGGTTTTTTAAGAGGAAGTCGCAGAAACCTCGCACAAGAAACCATCAAGAAATCAAGAAATACACCCTCATTTAGTCCATGCATACGCAGCAGCAGTACGGGCTACGACGGCGTTTCTGCGTACTTTTACATACGACCTGTCTGTCTGTCTGTCTGATCAGGTCGGTCAGCTTGCCTTTCTGGCTATCTGTCTTTCTCTCTGCCTGTCTGTCTGTTTGCATGTGCTTCATGCTTCATGGTGTCTTGTCTCACCTAGCTGAGATAACGATCCCCTTCTTGTTGGCGTGATCGCCCCCGGGGGTAGAGATGGTGAGAAGATCGCACTCGTTCCCGGCCAGGGTCTCGCAGAGACGCCTCCTCCGTATAGCGCTGCAAACCCCAAGCGGAGAAGCCTCTATCTTGCTCAGGTACTGCTGCAGGTCCGAGTATCTTCCGCGCAAAGGAAAGGGCGCAGCGTTAGGATGGATTACCCATAGTCACGGGGGGGTAGTTTTTGATGTGCCGTGCGTCGGTGGAAGTACGTCGTGTTGACTGGTCGTTGTGTTGTGAAGCCTCGTGGGGCGGGAATAAACCCTCACGCAAAGGGGTGACAAAGGTGGCCTCGATTTGGGCCGGAGAGCATCCACCGGTTTGTGCTGGATTCTACTGCAATTGCCTCCAGGGCATTCGCAAGGAAGCAAATGCTCCGTTATTCCAAGCACAGGCGGTCCTCGCTGCCTAAAGTAGTTTGTAACGAGACACCCAATTCTTGTCCCGATCAACGACCGTTGAAGAACAACATATCGCCGTCTTTGGAGAAATCGCTATGGGGTAGAGTTAAAATCGCGTTGAAACATGCTCCTGTGTTGCCGTTGTGGTTGTCACTGCCGCCCGTGGATTGGGGTACTGACGTCGCCGAGGGACTGCTGGCCATTGGGGCTTAGTTGGGAAGTGTCGGGGTTGTTCGGGTTTGAGTTACAATATGGCCGGGTTTGAAACGTGAAGCGGGCACAGCAGCGGCAGCAGCAGCAGCGGCAGCAGTAGCAGCGGCGCTTTTTATACGGTTGGTGGTGATGGAACGAAGGGAGCCAAGGAAGCGGGCAACAACAACAGCAGCAGCAGCAGCAGCAGCAGCAGCAGCGCGGGCAACACACTGGCGAGACTACCTGTAAGGAAAGCAGTGCGCCAAGTAGAGCGTGTCTTGGTCGAAGGATGTCTGCACGGTGAAGGTGAGGGTCCAAAACGGCTTCAGCCCCGCCCTAGTGAGCTGATTCTTGAAGTAGCACGCGTCAGACCCCGTCCGATACCACCCAACGCCTTCTTGCTCCGCACGCGACTGGTGACACGCGTTGGCAACGTGCCACGAGCATGTTGCGCACATCCGTCATGCATATGTCGTTGTGCGTTTTCTGCACGAGAAAAGCTGTGGGCGCTCGTGATTGTTCAAGTTTCCCAAAATGTTCGGGTTAGAGGGTTAGGAATTAGGGTGTGGAATCTAAGGGTTCCTAACCTAACCCTAACCCATCAAGCACATGACAGACGCACATGAATAAATACCACAAGCTTAGAAGAGAGAGTACTAGCCCATACGTGGTCGGGCACACCGTTACACTGTCACTAAATGCCTCTAGGAATCCCGAGCCCAAAACACGCCCCGTGTTTAGGGGAGGGATTCTTCCACATTTTTCGCAATGCTTTCGCCGAAAAATATCATCCCGGGACATCTCTCATGGACGGGCTGTGTATTCAAAAGGATGCCGTGCCAAAGCAGCAGGCGCGGAGAGGTGCGTAGCGTTCTTCATGAAATTACTAGCGACACTCAAAATGAATTAGTCGTCAGAATTCACAGATTATGGGTTTTTTTACAACCATGGCATGCATACGCCGAACTAATTCAACCTTTAAGGTCAGAGCAACAATGTTGTTCAGGGGTTATCGAGATGGCGATTCCATGTGTGTTGTTAACTGGTCATATCAACGCGGCCTACCTCATAGTTATCATGTTTGTCGATCGACACAGTACAGCATGACCTCGTTCATGTGATATGGAGTACAATTCAAAGCGACACGGTTAAAGCTCAAGAGGGGATTGGACGAGGAGGTGCGGTATCAGACGATGTGACGTGCGACGCTCAACGCAACCTTCCATTCCCTTCTACCTCGGAGTAAGCTAGAGGCTGCATGCCAAGGTTGTACACCGCCTCGGTCTTCATGAGGTTCTGCATGTTGAGCTTGTAGGGCCGGCCACGCCTCAGGTTGGACATCCGGAAGTAGAACCACTGGGTATGCCTGTCCGTGTTGATGTCGAAGGCCAGCTGGAGGTTGTACTCCGACTCGCCTCTGGTTGCATCCATCCGACGTGAAAAGCGGAACCATCAGCTCAATGTGTTGTTTTCGAATACAAGATCCACGTGTAAAGCGGATTCATCAGTTCGATGTGTTGTTATCGAATATGGCACATGTAACACAATCTTATCGAAGACTGATCGGAGATGCATGACCCTCCGTCTCTTCATGCGAACCGGCAATCATGAAAGTATATGTACCACAACCTATTCTTCATACGAAGGAGATCGACAAGACCTTGAGATCGTGCTTTCCTGCTACGCAGGAATCGAGAAGCAGCCTTGCTAGCAATACAATAGGGATAAAGTCAACCTACAACTCCCACCTCTCTCCAGTTGTTGCCGACTCACCATACCTCGCAATCCCACACGGAGCGGTGTTAAAACCATGACCAAAATGCCGATCAAAACGAAAACATCCAAGCACATGCAGACGACCAGCATCACCAGGAGGAGGAGCAAGGACGGGGAGACACAAGCATTGCACTCTTCACCGCACACTGTCTCACACTCTCTCAGTGCTCCTATGGTTGGTGCAATGCTTCACATTTTCTCAGCGGCCCCAAGACTGGAATAGCGGTTCACATTCTCTCAGCGCTCCTATGAATGGTACGTACAATGTCTCACATTCTCTCGGCACTCCGAAGGTTTCCCGATTCGAAACGCGACTCGAACATGACGGTGTCATCTTCCGGGCCTGTAGGCGAATACCACCGGGGCATGTCTTCGTCCGCTGTTGCCCCTCGAGCTTGCTGAATGGATGTGGTGATGTGGCGATGTGTTGTATGGATATCGGGTATGACTGTGTCGTGGCGTATGCATAGGCTTTATGTAGGTGTCAACAAAAGGGAAAGACGGCAGCCGATACAATAATGTTGTCGGTTCTTTCTGTCGCGGTGGCAGTGACCCAATCATACGGACATCTATCCATCTTGTCATGGCGTATCGTACCATGAATCCTCACCATCATCAACATCATTGACGTAATCAACACCATCAGCATCATTGACGTCATCAACACCATACAACATCATTATCGTCATCAACACCATTAACACCATTCGCGGCCATTCCATCGGTTACACGCACCACACCTCGCGCACAAGACCGTCAGAAGATACGGTTGTTGGCGATTTTGAGACCAAGCGCCCTCGACCACAACACAACCTCCCCCGGCCTCGCGCGTACTGCGAAATGGTCGCAAACACCAACGATTTGCTACACATGTGTAGACTTTGCATACCCCTATTGACTTAATTTAGTCCAATATCGTATAGTGTAGAACCTGCTTTTGCACGTCGTTCAGACAAGTTGCGCCGCATCGCATCCGTAGAATGCATCTTGGAACGAATGCATCTTGGAAAAGTCAATCATGGGCCGGAGTACGGTTTCGCATGATCACGCCATTTTTCTGTGTTTGTGTATCGTTAGCAGGTTGATTCAACACCTGTATGGATCAGCACCAGACAAATGAGCAATTAGACTGATAATCACCTCGTTCACAGAGTAGCGTTAGAATAACCAAGGGACTAGACATTTGAGAGGAAAATGTAGACGACAGAACATCGGACATACCGGCATCCGGCACATCACAGCAGAAGAACACTTAGATATGAATCGATCGCACTTTTCAGAACCACAGAGGTCCGCAACATAATCAGAGAACCCCTCACTTTAAAGGTGACATCGGCAACCTGCTGCCCATGTATCTCACCGCATAGTCAACGCCAGCCCGTGGAGGTCGGGTGAGGGAGTCGTACACCTGTTCCCCCTGATGCTTGTCTGGCTCTTCGCACCTGCTTCATTACCGTCAGGTTGTTGAGACGCCAGCCCTATTTGTCACACCAAACAGCAAGCAGTGACTCGTGCATTGCAAGGGAACAGGACAATACAGGCGTCTGCTTCACCAAGCCCCAAGAGCACAGGGTTAACGTTGGAGGAACAGTCTACGGTAGGAAGAACTAATACATTCACGATCTCGTCTCCGTATGATAGAAAAAACATCATTTTGTCGAAATATGTACGGGTTCACATGAAATTGAACATTCCCTTGGTGCATAACGTAGGTCAGTCGTTGAGGCTAGGATGGTGTGATCAGCGGTATCTACCGCACCACCACGTGTGTCGACGGTTACCTGAGAGCGTCTAGTTTGGTTTCTCTGGCGAGAAGGCTTTCCGGCGGCGGGAAGGGCAGCACCGGCTCTTCGAAGGGGGGAGGAGTTTGCAGGTGGTGTGGAGGCGGCCAGATGAAGGGAAGCGTCGTGCCGCTGAAGGTCAACACACACACACACACACACACACACACGCCGAAAACATGGAGGGGTGGAAGAGAGCAAAGGGATTGAGCCAGATGACCTTCCCCAAAACAAAAAACGTAGGGCTAGGGAAGAACTGCCCAGAGATTCTTGTCAAAATGAGGATCAGAAGGATGGTATCGAAAACAAGGAGGATAATGGTGAAAGTACTCCCAAACGAAGTAGAGTACAAGGTAATAGCCTTGGTAGACGCGTCCAGTTCTCTTCTGTTGCTGCTGTTTCTGTCTTTGATCCGAAGGATAGTTTAGCCTCCCCCATGCTGCCCCCTCACGGGGTCCCAGTTCATGGCAGATAGAGGTGTTTTGTGTTTTCAACCGCACTTAAGACTGACGTCTTTTCATTGGTCAGCCGGATAGCGCGGTCGATGCTAATAATAAAAACACACACACGCCGCGGAAACGAGTGAACACCTCAGGAGAGATTATTTCGTGTTGGCAATACAGCATGACCCAGGAGAGATGATTTCGTGCAGGAAATACAATATAAGGAGCATTCCCAGCATACGAAGGTGGTAGTAAAAGTCTACCTCCCTCCTATTGTTCGTATCTATCTGGAGGTGGGAGAAGGAGGGGGTACAAGTATGGATGTTCAGGAACTACCTGTGATTGAAGGACAACGCTCCTTGGAAGTTGTTCTAAGGCAAATTTACTACTGTTGAAAGAAAGGGAAAATACCCAAGGCGTGCTATGATATTTGAATCATGGTGGGGGGCATACTGTAGGGGGGGGGAACGTCTACGATCTCTCTCCGAAATATGGCGACATACGAGAAGTTCCTTCGCAGTATGAAAATCTGGACTCCAATGTATGTGCTTGTACCGAGTACAGTCTACGACACCAGAAACACATCCCGGTGATAACGTTTTGGTTTCTAAACAATTTTTCTCCAGGCGGGTGTGTCTGTCGTTGTGGGGGGTAGGTATCGTATGCCCTTCATCGGGAGAGTACTACAGCAGTGTAGTTTGGGCTCATGTTGATAAGCGCATGTAGGTGTATGTACTCTCATATCGACCCCGTCAAAGTACTAGCACCGATTGCGGCAAGGTGTGTGTTCGGGGGGGGGGGGGGGGGTTCTTGAGTCATGTAGGGCCGTACCTGGTAGGGTACAGGCATAAACAGGCGGGAAGAACGCTGCAACTTCAAAAATGATCATGCATTGAACAGGTGGTCTACAGCAGTATTCTACAAGTCAGCGTGATGGTATACTGTAGGTAGGGGCGGGGAGGTGTGAGAGGGGGGCAAACAAGTAGAGGCAATACCGTCCATAATCTCTACCCGTATGATAGGATGCAGGTAGAGTATGTATACAGCATGAAGTCTGGTGGCGCCTAGTCTTCTTCTAAGCTGGACGCGTGTGTCCGAGAACTGAACCGATATCTGATATCTAGTCTGCTACGTGCCGTCGCATTCGTGTCTGATGTGAACGGTTTGTTGCAGTGCCGCTCTCATAGCATAGTCTATGCTCCGAGTTTATCCACAAGACTTCGAGTCTGGCCTACAACAGTAAAATATTAGTCTTACAGGAGACTGTCAAGGAGATGCAGAACAGCCTGGAGAAATACCCCTCTGGACCGGAACAAGGAAAGTACATGAAACCGAAAAATTTATTCGTTATCGGGGGGGGGACATACAACGGGTGAAAACACGTATAGGTTCAAAGGGGTCGTCCTGTACACAGCCAGGCACAGCCCCTACAGCCGCGACAAGGAAGACATAGCCCACCCACTAGCACAGTCGCACTACAGATGGAAGGGTAGCAGATCCCCGAAGCCAAACGGGCCCGGTGGTCCGCGGACCCGAGCTAGAGGCAGTGGTGAAAAGTCCCATGTGCTGCGGGGAAACAACGCAGGCTCCGCACAGCAGCGGCATAGGTGGGGTTCGAGGAGGTTCCCACGACAGCAGCAGCGACTGCGTCGCGTTCGATGGACAAAAATCCTCACGGTGCTACGGGAGGGGACGACCAGGACGCGCCCTTCGAAGACCCGGAGGATGCTGTGGGCTTTGGAGCTCGGAGGTTGCTGCAGAGGCTGCCAACGAAGACGTGCTGCACAGCAGGTAAGCTCTTTCTCCACATCAGGAGATGCAGTACGGCATACGAGTGCTGCGTAGCACAGGAGTGTAGATCGCTATGTGGAATGCAGCAGCCTTGGGATGCAGTACAAGGTTTGGGTTGTGGACGGCCGAACACGCAGTGTAGAATAGACAGTCTAACCAAAAACGACAGCTACGCTCGTGTTTGTCATCCCCCCGGTTTTTGTACCAAAAATATAATGCGAAAAGAGGATCCAACACAGACGTGCAGCTTTCGACACGAAGAAAAAAATACATGCACCACTGGAGCCTACGTCTAGACTGTGCATACGAGCCATTTGGTGAGCGTTTGCGACCTTCGGATATTTGCCGTATTTTGCTCGACGCGGCAATATTTATCATCACAGTCAGTACGCTACAATACGTCACCCGACAACGAGCACAGAACTTGAGTGTATGGCGTCTGTACAGCAGTCAGTATGAATACGATATACGCTGTAGGCACAACAAGAGAGTCCAAGTCTAGATTGCTGTAGACCACGCTCGAGTACTCCGGAGTACTGACTTCCGTTGTTATTGCAGATCTCGATACACGCAGTAATCATTCGGGCGGGCAGGGGATTCCTTTGTTTCGAAGGATCAGCGTACATATTATTTCTCCATGTGTGTGCTGCTGTACAAGTAGTAGTTTGTTTACTGCCGAAAGTGCCGACGGAATCTAGTGCGAAGATGCCCCTCATCACCATAGTACGTACCTCACGACCGCCCCATAACGCACGCACACATACATTCATGGCATTTAGAAGAGTTTCGTGTTTTCAACCGCGCTTAGACTGGCGTAAAGTCATTGGTCTGCGGGTTAGCGCGGTCGGTGCTAGAAATAAACGCACACACACCAAAATATGGTCCCACACACCCCGTACGAACGCGAAAAAAATACACAGCAGCAGCAAGAAACACGCGGCCCATCGCGCTTGCTTACAGCAGCCGTACTTTCGATCTGTACTTCCACGAAGACTCTCCTCTCTTCTTGTGTTCGCACTACATAGACCCCGGGCTAAAGCTCGACAGACAACATTATTTCTGGACCCATTTCAGGTTTCTAGCACCTCACGGTTCATTTGAAACGTCAAACGAAGAATTGTGGCAATCGGTTCCACCGAATTTTCTCTTTGACAACCTGGTCACTTTACGTTTTTCTTTTCAACTCTCCCATACAGGAAACCAGCGACCGGCGCATGGATTAAGACGAAGACCTGCACAATAGCCTGTTCGACGCGAGTTGGAAAGGACGGTACCCAACCAGACATTTCGCGTGCCATGCACATGCACGTGTTGTTCATTGTGTTGGGGGCGAACGGGTTCGAGGGCATGGAGGTGTTGGGGGCGGGGCGTCTTTCTGTCGGTCCGTTACCGTTGATACCTCTGTGCAGCGTGGCAAGACAACGGTGTGTTGTGTTACTCCTCAATTTTATGTTTTGCTCTTCGGGGTCAGATGGTCTCTACTTCGTTTTTGTCCTATTTTCGTACATCCTAGGTAGGAGGGGGTTGGAGTGGGAGGATGACCTCACGGCCTTGACAGTATCGCTCCCGAGGAGCCGGCTTCTTGTGCTTGAAAATACCCGTAACATTTTTTGTATTGTCACACCCCAACACAGACCGTGTCGCTCTGTCTTCATAGCATGTTTTGTTTTTGTTGGATGGGGGTGGGTACGTTCCATTCATTTGGCTCACTCGGAAAGCGACTCGTTTTTTTCGGTCGCTTCTCGAGGGGTCCCGACGCAGCAACAATTGTTTCTGATCGCCAAAAAATCATGACACACGTATTTGAACAAGAATCTGTTGTTTTTCATTTATTAATTAGTCCGCGGATGCAGTCGAAATAGAGGGTGGTTCAGTCCTTCAGGCGTGTACGCTTGATACTCGGGGTACCTCCTCTAAACAGTTGGGGAGATGGTGGGCAGGGACAAACAGCTTGAGTACTTAGTGCATGATTTCCACGCGACGAAACTAGGACCGTCGGGCTCACACCCAGCCTGCTTGAGAGGCTGTAGACAGGCGTCACCAAACTCGAATGAAAATCCAAAGTGCTCAAACGAACCACATACCCGCCGACAAGTAGCCGAGGCTAAGTGAGGTAGGGTCCTCTTTTCCACGGCAAGGTGCCGAAAAAATGCGTACATTCCTGAAAATCGCCAGAACACGTGCCCTTCTCCTACGTCGCAAAACCCAGAATCGTGTTTATCTCAGACTCGAACCTCCACTTCACTCCGTTAGAACCTTGGCGCACGTCCAACAGTCCCTCCATACAAAACAACCCGCTCCGAGGATCGTCCTCACACCCGAAAAAGGCGAGTCGGAGCCTACGAGAAACCCTTGACCGCCTCGCTTGCCTGTTTGTGATGGAGGCGAAGACAAGGACGGAGTGGGGAAGTGCATTTAGGGTACGGTCACTATGTACAACTAGATGTACGCACAAGGACTGGCATGACGAAGACTATCATGACCAAAATTTCCAACGGTGTTCATACAGTAGCAATCCACCGCGGAGCGTCTTGTGTCTTGCTAGTATTTCACAATTGATGAGCAGAGCGGACCCTTTTTTTATTCCTCCTGGGATCATGGAACTGAGCGGTGCAATTGCACGAGGAGTTAGATTTTCAAGTTTCGCGGGGTGGAGTGGCACGGTCGGTACGTCGTTCAGTATATTGTCACTGAGTGATTTCTTACACCAGAGGGTGAACCGCGAGAACCCGGGGCCTTGGCGACGGTGCACCATCAGACGGTGTGAAAGTCATACGGAAACATGACGGAGTTTTTACCTGTGTTTCGTGAAACATTTTGTTGTAGTTCAAACATCGAAAACATCGGATCTTGTGCACGGTGTGCGGGCCGTTTTTTTTTATATCGGTTCCGTTGGGGGCAAACGCTCATGGAACAAACCGTTTTTTTTTAATATGTCACGGAGCAATTGTTATCATTTGGAAAGGTCACGGGGCGTCGTGATGGTAAACCCCCAACTCCATTAAAAAATCGCTCCGTGAACACCCATTCCTGCAAATTTCATGCTGGTGAACACGAAAAATCAAAAGGTCACCTACCTCGACGATGGTGCGGAACACTGCAGGATCACCACCTCCCGCGCCGTAATTTCCACCACTGCTCGGCGTCCCTCCTTCCGCCCCTTCCTGTCGCGCCAAACGCAAGGTCCACCGGGCGTGAACAAGTGGTCTGTCGGTCCACCTACACTCCTCCGGCTGCTCCTTCTCTCGTACTAGACAGGTCACTGCGGTGTCCATTGAGATCCATCCGCCACCAGTTGACCTCCGCTCTGGCAAGGGTACGCCCAGATATATCCCATGGAACTCGAAACGTAACGCTAAGCCTACCGCCGCCTTGCCTCCAGGGGGGAACTGGGGCTGTCCAAAGACTCTATCTTCAAGTGGCGCGTTTGGCACTTCGTGCCGCCGCGCAGGTGGGGTGTTTCATGGATATTCTAACCCAGCTCCAGCACAAGCGCGACGTAAGCCATTTTGAGCCAACAACCCCCGTTAAACTGCTTGTCGTGGGCACCTGCAAGAGCAATCAAGTACATCACAAGAAAATATTGAGGAATATGGGGACCATAGTTCTGCTGCTTGCTCATGAAAACAGTCCGCGCGAAGGGCGTGCGTACGCGCACACACCGGGGGGTTACATTTCAACGATTAGATTCAATAATATTTTTCGTTATTGCGTGTAGTAATAACTTCGTTGGTTATTCTCCGACGCCGTGGAGCCGCGATCTACCGCATAAGGCACGAACTACACCCGCAACGGCCGTTCCTGTATGTACCTATTGAAACCGGATGCGCCGCGAAAGGCTGATTTTTTCTAACTAAATCCCTATTAGTAAGGGTTCTACAGCAGTAGTACGGAAAACGCCGTAACTCGATCATTTCTTAGGGTTAAGTGTCACATTCTATATCACGTGAAAGCTATTTGTCTGGGCCATCGTTTGAGCCGTCTCGGACTCAGATTTGAAGATTTGGTGGTTACAAAAACGCCCACATAGGTACACCGCGGACTGCTGTAGGATTTTTTATACCACACATAACTTTTGCATTGTCCAGTCGTTCGGCTCGAAACTTGGTGATTGTGCAGAGAGAAGCAAGTAGGGCCATATGCAACAGAGACTCTGGTCCTCTACTTGATCTATCGATGCCTGGATGTGTGTTTCTGACCCGCGGGGCCGTTTTGCGGCGTCACGGGGCCCCCTCTTCACCGTCGCAGTACGCATAGCTGGCTACACGTATCTGAGAATCTGACGCAACTAGACGACTCTCAAGCACATGGGCTTCTTATAAACATAGAATGCGACAATTAACCCTCTCTGTAACCTAAGTTACCACGAGAGCGCCGTCCTGTGCTGCTGACCTGGTCGCCCAAAAGTTCATGCAGCAGCAGCAAATCTTGCGACCAGCACCGATTTCCTAGCGTATGGTTGCATGAGCTATCATAGTCAGCGACCAGCAGTGTTGTGAGTGTGCCGAACGGAACCTACCTTTTGTTTCATCCAGCGCCTTGTCGTCGTCCCGCAGTGCTCCCCCAAAGTAGCGGGTGCTGGTCTCTGATGGGGCTGTTTTTTGAACCAAATGAGGGTTTCCAGGCTGTACATTTTGCTATAAAGACCGGCATATTTTTAGGTTTTTCCGAACCGGCACTAAGTGCTCCGCACCTACCTGTCTGTACGAATGAATATGCGTAGACTACCACGGCGGTATCGTATGCACTGAAGGAAGGAGTTTGAAGATCCTGGGTGGTGTGATGCACAGCAGCCTGACACCTGTAAGAGAGTAGACTACAGTATGATAACATGTAGACAATGTATCCAGGAGCTATGAAGAACTTCTGAAGGTGAAATCAGGCACGCGCCGCAAGATTGAACACTGACTGGACCAACCGCAGATCAAACAAACTTCGCACATACGGTGAACAACACAGGCAAACTCACGTTTGTGGCGGTGGGATCTGCTGCTGCTGCTGCTTGGGCGACGGCGGCTCTGCCATGTTGTTGGACGTTGATGATATTTAT